GACAAAATACCTCGGTTCGATAATGACACGGGTTTCACCGAAAATTCTGAATTTTCTGAATATGTACAGCCTCTTTTTAGTAGCGCAGGGCTCTTACAATTCTGGCGAATCTCGTTCGATAATTCGTCCGCCTTTCATACGCCGCTGGGTCCACTTGATTACTATAATTAACTATTAGGCCGTCCAAGACGCCTGCAAAACAAAAACGAAATCCATTTAAAAAAAGAAAATAATCGTTACCGTGGTAAATGTAACATAGGCTCGCGTGTTGGAAAGTTGTTTCAAATTGTCTCGCACGAAGGCAAAGTACACAAGCATAACACCAATTTCCACGTGTCGTGTAACGAAATGACAACAAAATGCTTGAGTGAACTCTTTATAATTGTTCTACTCGCGTTCGAGTCTTTCTTACGTTGGAAACTTTCTTCTAAGATCGACTTCAAGTGAAGTCAAACGACTAACGCTGCTCTGGCCTGCGGAGAGAGATATTAACTTTACGACAGAGCAACTCCGAGTGTCGTAATCTTGATACCAGTCCCTAAATACGTTACAGTCATACGCGGACGTCCATAACCGCGCAATCGCGATTACGTTTACCATTTTATCGGCGCATTTATCTCGCCGATGGGGGCATAAAGATTGATTCCTTCTTCCGCGTAGAAAGTTGTCGGTGCGCTAAATCTACGGTCGGTATCGGTCGTTCGCTCCATTCGCTCTTCAACCGTGCCAAAAGTTTCTGACATTTTGCCTAACCTGCGACGTAACCGAGGTCGTTGCCTCGTTATCGAACACCTATCGTTTTCTACAAGGTCGCGAGCATCTTCTCGTAATTTTCCATCTAAAAAATATAAGCGTCCAGGTTCCACGGAGAAGTTAAAGAGCAAACGCGATGTCCCGCAGGAAACGAGCGAAGCGTATCGCACCGATGTCATCGGGAGGATGGCCAGGGATCGTTCTGGTTCGGAATATTCGGAGAACATGAGTGACGCCACGACCTGCAGTTGTACGGCAAGTTCCATCGACAAGGTTAGTAAAACAAATCAAATTAAACATAATTTCTGCATGTGGAATGAGACTAATAAGCTGATTCATTCAGTTAGGCCAATTTCATTGTCAAAACACAGTGGCGTCACCAGGTATATTAATCTAATGTCACCCCTGTTACTATTAATTACGAACGGGATAGTTTGAAATATTCCCTTTTTTTAAATGCAAAGTTAAATAATCGAGGAGGTAATTAGAAGGATAGCAAGTACAATTAACATAGATCGTAGAACCCGTAAATTACTGAACGCAATGAATTACCTACGTGCTTTGCGCGGATTTATGCCTCGCATTAATGTGAAATACATATCCAATTAGAAAAAGATTAATTGATATCTACTTTGGTATCGCCATCCTATCGAGTGTCAAGGGAATCGATGATTAAAGGGAGAAACAACTTTGGGCTCGTAAAGATGAAGCATAATGCAGAAAGCCATGTAACCCCTAAAGAGTCGAAGGTGCTCGATGGGAAGAGAGATCGCGCAGCACCGTTTCGATATCGATCGATCGCTAGTCTCATCCCGAAGATCGGGATCGATCGAAAGCCAACCAGGAGCAACGGTAGCCGACGTTTGATTCGAGCCAGCGCGCGATCACTCTTCCGGAAGAGCGTGCGAGAGGTATGCGAGACAGCGGCGGTGGCGTCCGATAATGGTTGCTGGGACTGTTGGTGTTTCAGTGCTCGTTGCGCGGCTGCGGCATGTTTCAAGAGCCGTTTTTCCTGCATCCGCCAGGTTCGAGGCCCCGCGATGGAATCTACATAAATCCCATGAGCGCGTACATCGGCGAGTCGGCGAAGCCAAAGGACACGGAGTCCTTCTACCTTCACAGCCCGCATGATCTCGTCTACACGAGGATAACGCGGCTCTTCTCGGACACTGGCAAGCATCGACACTTCGAGAGGAAAGACGATACGTTGACTGGTAAGTGGCACGTCCCACATATCACCCCTTCTCCGTTCTCTGACGTTAACGTCCTCTCGCGACTCAACCTATACGCGCGACCTGCCACAACCGCGATTCGCTCAGATATTGGCTGAAATATTGTTTAACACGGCACCAACGTTTACGTAAACTTACATTTTCGCGGAAATATAGACAAATAAACGCAATATAAATAAAAGTATCTCTATATCACACGAGAATTCGAAGAACGAAGGTTTAATACACGAACACACGTACTAAATGCACACGAAGAGACTAGTGGTAGTAAATCGAGAAGTCACGAAAACATTTCATACGGTCAGCCTGCTGTCATCCGATTGCAGTGAAAGTGGACGTGCACATCAACAATGGCGTACTTGACCGACCTACCGCTGGGAACGGTTACGCGAGCAAACCCGAGGCGGCTCGCGAGCCGTTCGAGCACGCGTACGAGCAAATCTGCTTGCGACAGGACACGGAACCTGGCACTGCTGCCCAGAAAAGGCTCCCGGACAACGCGTCCGACGGCAGGTATACTCGATGGAACAAATATAACGATAGAAAGGGCCTCGATACAGTCGCTATACTTGTTCCACGCTGACAAACGCTTTGCCTCGCCGCGACTACCGCTACGCTGGAAATTAGAAACACGCGCCGTTATCGCGAATTGCACGCACCGGCGCGGCAACTCTGCTTCGCCTTTGGCAAACTTGAAAATTCCTTTCGTGTCGAGCGAACATTTCCCGTTCCGTTCGAGCGTTTAGCGACCAGAGTTTCGACCGGTTACGTCCACCGCGATCGAATGGATTTCGAAACACCCCTTCGTTTCGAAACGCGCTTTCCCGGTTTCCGCGCATCTCGTTCTGCAGGATCGAACGAAATCGTCGCGTTACAAATTACAAACGTATCGTTGGTCGAGGCGAATGGAACGCAGCTTCTAACACGGTCTCAAAGACGCGACGAACGATCAAAGTCGGACCGATTTCAGTCGTTCCCAGAAAACCGATCGACGATACAGCAGATCCAGCAGCACGAGCGAGACGTCCAATCTGAGCAGCGAGGTTCCCTGTTTCTCGTCCAGCGCGTCAACCCCCTCGCTCTCGCGGAACAGCAGCAACGAGAGGATCGGCAAGAACGCGAAAATCGGGGCCGAATTTTCGCATGGTACGTGGACGTTATGCTTCCGTTCGTCGCATGGCGACCGGTTGATACGGATAAAATGACTAACGGGACTACGCGATTGACTTTCAGAGAAAAAAGACTCGACCAGCTCGCAAGTAGAAAGCGACAAGGAGATTAAACCGGCTAGCACCGGAGCCAGGTAAGTAGGACGAATGATAATCAAATGCGACGGAAAATCGATAAGAAGCTGTCGAATCGTCGACCGATCTCGATTCCATTCAACCCCGTTCGGTCTCCGTAGCTTGACTTTATAGAGGGACTCGAGGATCTTCTCAGCTGAAACAAAGAAGGGAATTAATTTGCCTGACAGGTAAAAGTTGCGCACGCAAATGCGATACATTCCACATTTCGCATTCAAATATTTACCACACTGTAACTGTCGCGTTTACCTAGTTATAGACGCCATTCTTAAGCTTCTCGTTGATTTCAAAGCTTGGACTAGCCAGTCAGACATTTATCTTGTCCAAGAGATGGTGATCGAATAAATCGTGGTCGATCTAGTGGCGCGATCCGTTTGGAGTGGGGGCAGTCGGACGATTCGAGTTCCTAACATATGGTCAGTCGAGGGTTCGATGGCTTGGTGAACATTCTGCTCGTAACGGACCTACTAATGCGGATATTATCAAAAATTAAGCTTACGGTACTCTTTTTCCCTTCCTTCGCGCGTGTTCTTCAGTTTCGCGAAGCCACCACCGCCACCGCCACCGCCCCCACCTCCGGACAGGGAGGAGGTCGTGGTGCTCCTGGTGAACGCCAAGCAGAACGCGGAGGCGATCGCGCGGGACGAGAAGAAGGACGGTCCCGGAGACGCCAATAGGGATGGAAGGAGCGAGAACGGACCTGCTTCATCTTCAGGTGAGCCTCGCGACTAGAAACTGAGAAGAAAACCTGGTCGATTCGTTCGAAAAGTCTGAGAAGAGCCTTTTCGGCTCGGGATGGCATAGTTCGACAGAGAATCAGTAGTCAGGCCTCGTATTTAATCGGCTCGGACGATCGGCCGAATTAATGTAACTCGGCGCTCTTCGTCAATTAAGCCACCGGTGGATCGCGAAGACGGGCATAGCTTACTAGACCATAGCGCTCATCGGGCATATAATACACTTACCTAGATTTCACTTGCCCGACGTACAACGATTCGTTCTCCCTACCGCCTCTCTGTTTCGGAACAGCGACCAACAAGTCCGACGTATCCTGCGGCGAGCATCAACAGCCGGAAGTACCACCTGCCAGTTCACCGGCGGACACCGAGGAAATTAAGGCGAGTCAAACGTCTCACCTGGTCAACAGGCACATGGTGCTGCCGTTCATACCGCCAAAGTTCGCCAATGCGGACTCCAACACCCTGCTCAAGCCGTCCGAGTACTTGAAGAGCATCTGCAAGGGATCGACGAAGAACAGTCTCTCGAAGGCAAGGTCGGTGCGAACGCTTCGTAGCTTCGATTCGGTTTAACGTTCGAGCGTTAATTAACGCGTGAACCGCAGTGAATGCGCGCGACAGTGAATACTCTGTTAATTGATAAATAAATAACATTTCTAGATCGGTGGACAATTTGGACATACAGAGCAGGGGCGGCTATCGACGGGAGAGCAACGTTGGCGAAGAGGAGGAGGACGAGGAGGAGGAAAAGGAAGAGGAACGTCAGACAGGAGAAGGGGAGGAAGGAAAAGAGACAACCTTTGGACCTCCACCGCCGCCACTGTCTCCGTTGCAAAGGACTCGACGGATCGGGGAGGACGTCGGTGCCGGTGCCAACGGCGGCGCCGGCGTCGGTGGGACCACCGACCCCGAACACTCGATGTCCAGGACTCCGCAACCGTTGGCGACCATTAGCATTCAAGACCTGACGAGTATTCAGCTGCGACGAACCACCGTTAAAATGAACGCGACTAAAACCTTCTCTGCACCTCCACCTCGCAGCGTGTCTATGACGAATGGTGAGTCCTGCAGCACCGGTTACATGCTACAGAGGACCTGTTACAGGACTCCATAATCTGCAATTTATATATACATCTGTTGAATTTCCGTTGTATATGCTAATTGCTTTTTTTATGTTACCTACTTGTTTTGCACTTCGAGGACTCTGTATTCACAGATAGGTCCTCTTCGAAGAGAGGAGTCCTATCCAGCTCCAATTTTGGTGAAATTTTCTGTAAAAAATAAAAAGGAATATCACTCAATCCGATAGCATTGAAAACGTAACTTTCGCTATTTTTCTATTCGAGTTTAACACACCAACTTGGTAAAATAAAGAGAAACCTAGACAGGGCATATAGAATAATCTAGACTCCCCGCCATGTAGTTTCAGAGCCGTTCTTCGTCCAGAAAACGGACTTGATTGCGGAGCTGAAGAGAACCAAGGACATACCCGGAATAAAGAAGTTCAAGGTGGAAATGGCGCAGGTGGAGAAGACGCAGGAGCAGAACCTCATATCGGAGATCACCAAGGCTTTCAGCGCCTCGAATTTCGTGGATCAGGTAACTGACAAGCAGACGCACCGTTCTCTCTTCGTTCTGTCACATTTTAACGCGATCCTCGTCGATAGATCCCAGAGAAAGACAGTTCCGGGAACGTGATCCCGATATGGAAGCGACAAATGCTGGCTCGAAAAGCTGCCGAGCGAGCGAAGAAGGAGTTGGAGGAGCAAATTGCCAGGGAGAACGAGGAAAGACGACAAAAAGCGATTCCCGCGTGGAAGAGGCAGCTCCTCGCGAAAAAGGACCACGAGGAAAAAAGGTGGCTGTCGAGGATATAAATACAAACGTTTTACTACTATAAACGCATGGCTGTTATACTAACGCTTCTAACGCTTCTCGTAGACTGAACCAAGTACTCGGCGCGCCGGTGGTCAAGGTGGAAGCCCCAGGATCGCAGAAACGAGACGTTTCGCCGAGTTCTCAGCGAGCGAATCAGCTCGAGGAGAAAGTGGAAGTCGAGGACAAGAAGAACGACATGATGAGCCTCGGCAATCAGTCGAATCACGCGAACGAACTCGACGAGGAAGACAACGCTCCCATCATCCCATGGCGAGCACAGCTCAGGAAAACCAACAGCAAGCTCAACATCCTGGACTGATTAAACGTCTTGGACTCCCTTCGAGGGACAAACCTTGAATCGCGGGGGACGCTTGCGACGCTTCGGGCGGTTTGATCTTCTTGTTACTTGGTATAACTTGGGAAAACGAATGATGGCGACCTCGTAAAACTGCGAGGGTACCAAGATTATAAAGATAGAGCCACTGGAAGAAGTACAGCCGCCGAACGACGTGAAGGAGCCTTGTTACTCTGTCTAAAGAAATTATGTGTGATGACTTTGAAGAAGTGTGGGAGCAGCCGACGATGTGATAGGATAAACCGATGTTTATGAGATGAATCGAATGAAAAGAGATCGTAATTTTCTCATGTGAATAGGAAGAAACTAAATAGACTTTTTCCTTGGGCGATAGAGGCCTGTGGGTCACAGGGCCGCACGTACTATTTTCTGCTGACAATATCCGTCTGCCTTTCAGCCAACCCTGCAGTCAGGGGTCCTATTACCGTCTCGGCACCTTGCAGTTTTTACGAGGTCCCATCAACTATATACATTCAAAAAAAACGTTACGATGCGTCGCGTGGCACACCCTCCTCCAAAAGCTACATTGTACGCATCTTTCGTTAAAGATGTTCGTCAACGAAAATCGAACGCATCATGTACATAGAGCCGAGTAAAATTTGTATCGTAAATCTCTGACACATGTTCCTCGTTGATTGTATTCTCCTGCTGGAAAATTCGTGGACCAGAGGTAGGCTAAAAATAAAGAATAAATCCAACGTACGGGAATTCGAAGCATCAGTTGAAATTAAAAATTGAACATTCTTACCTAATAGTAAGACATCAAGTTTTTCTCGTTGGATTTATCCAGATAAGAATTTAGTCCATCTCTGTCACGGACGCGCGTCCCTGGACTAGCCATTCGATCGATGATTGCTCCCCTTGTTTCCAACCACTGCTGGGTCCTCCCAAGCGAAGCCAATCGGGTCTCGAGGGTCGGAATCGGCTCCGATGATCGGACTTCCCAGACGGTACGCGGAAACCCTCATCCTATGAAAGCATCGCTGGCTACTCATTGTTACCAGAGCCACACCGACGCGGAGGCTAGCGTGCAAGGGGCATAACGGTCCTCGAAGGATAGAGAATCATCGTCCCCCGGCCGTTTCCCATATTCAGGTCCAAAATTACGGTTTCCCTCTCATCGACGAAGCGAGTAGCCAGTCTCGAAGCGTTCAGTCGTCTCTAGAGTCTTCACCAGAGATAGGCAAGATTTAAATTCTAGGTAACTCTAGTCGCGGTGACTACGACTAAACATCTATTTTCGTTTAATAAGAAGTGTATCGAATAAGAAGCGATCTATCGCCTCGATATCGGAGACTTTCGTCTCAATAAGAATATTGCTCATCTTTGGCTTCGTGACGCTTTCGTGACGATCGCTACGTCAAAATTTCACGAGGTTCGCGGTTTGTGTGGGTGACCGTGGAAGAGAGGAAGACTCTGCCACCGCGTCCACGACTGCGAGGAACAGGAATAGGAACACCGACACGAGGAGCTGACGCGTGTACGAGTAGCTTGGTAGTCCGTCTAGGTAATCGGCGCTGTCGTAATCGGGCATCGGACGCCTGCCACTGTTGGCTCTCCGCGCAGTTGAAGTCGCAGCTGCCAGCATCGCGCCACGATTTCTCAGCAGCGATCTCTCGGACCCGGAATATTTGGCAGCGGCGACAGGAACGCCGGTTCTCGCCGAGCTCGACATTCCCGCGACGAGATACGCGAGATTCAATCGTCGTTTCCATCGCAGTAGATCGATTTAACCGGTTCGAACGACGCTCGCGAACTCGCTGACGCGATTCGCAGTTCGCGGGGCACCGACGCGCGGCGTTTCGGCGCGGGATTTTCCTGTCACGCGCACGAGTGCATCCCCTGCTTTCTCTAAGTCGCCAGCGGAATTTCTGTGACGACGAGGATGGCGTCCAACCGAGATGCACGAGGTAAGACTTCCGCTTTCCTTTGAAACTTCCAACCCTTACGCTTTCCAGTGGTTCAATGTCTCTACGGTGGCTTCTTTTGCATCCTCCCGACATCTCGCGCATCTACATAACAAGAGCAATATTGTAATTCTTACAAACATCCCCGCGTTTTATTTCTAGACGTGTTTTGATCACAGGTGTGGCGACACAAACGATAGCTAATTTCCATCTTGACGCTGAAGTAGCATTTACGCGGACACCCTTCCGAGACTAAACCGCTATCTCGTTCGTGATCGATGAATCGCGCGCGTTTCTCGGGAAACGGCGAGACTTTGGCCGGCTCTGGATTAACCTCGCTCGTGCTCGTGGGCCAGAAGTTATTAAAATTGTGAATTATCGGTTCTTGATACGGCTCATAGTCCATGCCGAATGCTTCGAAGTTCGACTGGAAGAGTTCGTTCGAATAATAGATGACGAATAAAAACAACATACGATGATTTATTAACACGAAAAGCAAAATCACACAATTATCTCGCCGAGCATTTTATTAACGAGACGTTCCTATCATTCATATTCATGATCTCTCCTCGGCGTGTCGAATTTCTTCAACCGTGATCCATTGATTCGTTGTTTAGTTATAATTTCTTTAAATATACATTTTTAAATGTCTCTTTGACAAAATGCTTGAAGAGACGTGTGATATTAGGTGTAGAAATTATTTCAAAGTCCTCAACCTTATCTCTGTTTCAATATATTAAGATACAACCCGATGGAAATTATTATTAGAAGACGAATAATAAGCAAAATTTTATAGCTACCGAAATTCTCGTATCCGTAACTAAATGGCAATGACCATCAAGTTGAGACTTACGTTCTATTATGTGTATATAGTAAATATTTCCACTACTAAATGATTGAATATAAAGGCACAGAATTAATCTCCACACTTAATAAACATAAGCAACAGTTTTACGTCACCGTTCTTTGACCCGTGTAGAATCACGCGTTGCCCGACGCGTCACTTCCCAAATCAGGCACAGAGAATCGCTACACGCACGACCATTGGGTGTTCCGCTTGAATCGAACCGCGTCGCGAAAGACGACGATGCTCGCCAACGAGTATAAATATCATCCGGAAACGTCCGTGTTTAAGTTCTGGGTGAAGGTCGACTCAGCGAATTTTCAAAGTCGCCGGCGGCGCACGCGATACAGATTTCTCGTATCCACGTATCGTAACTCCTGACGACTCCATGCGTTTCCTGAACAGTGATGGAATGTCATCGAAGGAATCGTGATATCCAAGGTCACCGCGATAAATATCGCGAGTCGAGATCACGTCAACGCGCAACTTCGCTGTTGCACCGCGGTAGAGATGGAACCTTGAGGTCGAATCATCATGAACGAGATGGAATTATGGTCTCAACGTTGTCAACCGCGACCCTTTGATTCGGTAATTCGATGGAACGCTTGTGATACGTGCAAACGAGGCGTCGAGGGTTCGCGCTATCCCGTCCCTCGACGACCGATGGTGTTCTAAATATCGGAAGTGATCGACTCTAGAGTACGTCATCTAATGGATCGTGACATCAAGACCCTACGCAACGGTACGTACTTGTTTCACTAGTCCCGTGAGCCAAATTAAATTGTTTCTCATACATGTACAAGTCCGAACGAAAAATAAGCTCGTAGGTAAAGGTGTAGACACGAGCACCACCGCACGTTACAATTAATGCGTTCGACTTGTTTTTCTTGCATCGATAGAGAATGTTATCGTGAATCTACGACTCGAGTTTCTAGATACTCGGATAAATGGCTTCTGAGAAAACATACCTAGCAGTTCGAGTAAACTAGGCACGAGAAGGACGCGTTGAAAGTTCGGAATCCATTACTTTATGAATAGTAATCGCAACGGATACAACCTCCCGATCACTATCGCGTGCCGACTGTTGCGATACGACTGCGGAGATCTTCATTTGCTAATAAATTTCCAATCATAAATACAATTTTAACATTTATGCTTATATAATGAGCAGAATCGACGTTGTTACGACACGAATAAACAAGTCACGATCTTTACGATCGGAGCAGTGCTTTGATTTTCATATTGCGTGAATCCATTTGAAGGAACTAATTGATGCGATAATAAAAAAACAATGGACAGGGAACGAAACACAAGGATTCAAGACCGAACAAGTAAATATAACGAAACAGTTATTCAGAGCTTGGGTTCGTGCTCGCTTTTCCTCCCTGCACACAGTTTTTTCCTCGAAAAGACATTTTTCAAGCCGGTTGACGTAATATCTCGGGGAAGCAATTAACTTCGACCGGTTTGAAATTTAACACCCATGTACGGGGTGTAGCGTAACCATGCGGGGCCCACTTGTGCGGTGGATAGAGGACAAAAAACTCCTTGATATCTCTAAACTGGTTCAAAATGAAGAAATATTGTCAAGCTATCCTACAAATAAAAATCTGGCGATTATAAATCTGAGGAACGAGAGGTCAAAGGTCGATAGGTCTTGTAGAACCTATTCATCTGCTAGAAAAATAGATCGAGAGTTATCCAACAGAAATAGAATGGTGAACCGTCGCGTACTAATCGTATGCACTGTCTGATAAAACTCCTTCAAGCACACCCTTAACGCGACGAGTTTGCAGGTGTGGTACGCAGTAGATTTTGAGGCTCGGTTACACGGCAGTTATAATTTACATAATGCGTATCTACGTATCTTCCACGTGTAAATGGCACGACCTTCCGTCCAATCGTGTTACGTCAACGAACGCGTTTCAGTCGTGTTGCCCCGCGCAGGGCAACGTTGATGATTCCACTCGAAATACCATGCAAACAGTTTCAACCGAGCCTGTCGAAATCGTCGATTAAACATGTCAACCTTGATCGTTCGAAGCGTTCACGTACGACGAATTTCGAATGATCGAAGCCAGATAAAAATGTAGTTGGTACGAATGCCGAGACAAGCCTTCAACCTTTGTCCAGTTGTGTATAAAAGAACGCGATTGTTAATTCAAGGGTAACTCATTCCTGTTTCAATCCGGCGGAAGCTTGAATGAAAAATCCAAGGAGTGATCGTACGTCAAAGATAAACGATGCGGATACCGCGCTAGAGACTTATGTAAACACTGTTTACACGATCGCGCAACCAGACCCGCAGAAACAAAATGATGCGCGATTTTGAAATTGAATCGCGTCGGGTAAAGCACACCGCCGCGGTATTCATTTACTTTGCAATTATACAGGCTGCTCCAACCATTGCGAAACATGCATAACATATACAACCTTTGTATTCCCTGGAACAAGATCGAAATCGATAAAAAAATAGCTGAGATTTGAATTAATTTAAGGCAAACGTGATCCTATTTCCACTTTCAGAATGGCTGACGTGCCGGCAAGTGCTGAACATCATGGTGATCCTGGGATTCATGTTGAACTACATGTTGCGAGTGAATCTGACGATCGCCATCGTGACGATGGTGATCCCTAGCAACGTCACGTCGCATCCCAGCGGACTGCACGCGTCGACCGACTGCTACAGTCACGAAACCGCAAACATCGACAATGGTACAACGATGATAGGACAACTAACCACTGTCATCGATACATCTAACCAGAATAACATTGCATACCCATCGAAACGTGTACGTAGCATCTTTTATCTAAATTAGAAGGATCTATGCCTGATTAACTTTATTAGAAATTCCTCGTTGCACCTTGGTGGAGAACTACTCACCCGAGCAATAATGATTCCACTTAATTAACAGGAGGAGATAGAGCAGACCAGGTACTCGTGGAACGAGTACGAAGTCAACCTCGTGTTGGGAAGCTTCTTTTGGGGCTACATCTGCACGGAGCTTCCGGGTGGAAGACTGGCCGAGGTGGTGGGCCCGAAGAGGGTCTTCGGATACAGCATGCTGGTGTCCAGCGTGATCACGCTGTTCACCCCTCTGGCAGCTACCTATGGCTACGTCGTAGTCGCTGCTCTGAGGACAATTCTAGGATTCATGCTGGTGCGTTTTCGTTCTAAGTTTGCGATACTAAAACGTGCCACTCGTCAGCTACTAACGTTCGAATTCAGGGAGCTACTTGGCCCGCCATACAACCCATGACTGCCCGATGGATTCCGCCCACGGAGCGCAGCAAGTTTGTCTCAAACATGATGGGTAAGAAGACGAATGAGATAATTCTCCGCTTGCAAGGGTCTATCATCGATTGTTTCAGCGTCGTCGCTCGGAGCAGCGATAACAATGCCCATTTGCGGATTCCTGATCGCTTCGTTGGGCTGGGAATCCGTTTTCTACGTCACTGGAGTGATCGGACTCGCCTGGAGCGCAGCATGGATTTTCTTGGTGTTCGATTCACCGGCTCAGCATCCGAGAATCTCCGATAAAGAGCGTCGCTACATCGAGCAAGCCTTAGGGACCACGACCACGACCAAGGTAGACAGTGAAATGCTCGTTGCGCTAATACGCGAATGATAAATAACGTGTACATTTTGGTTTGTAGCGTCTACCCGTTCCGTGGAAATCTATTTTCCTCTCGGCGCCGGTTTGGGCTATCATAATCACCCATGCATGCAGCGTCTTCGGGTACTTTACAGTGGTGAATCAATTGCCCACCTACATGAAGTACATCTTGAACTTCAACATTAAACAGGTCGGCGCTCGCGTTACTGTTAAGAAGCTTTGGTCTTGTGTGCCGACCTCTTCGCCGCTGCACTCGGAGATCGAGTAAATTTCATACGTCTGTGTTTGTTTCTCTATAGAATGGACTGCTGTCCTCGTTACCGTACCTCGGGAAATACATCTTCGCCGTGGCAACGTCCTCGCTGGCCGACTATTTGCTCAGAAAGAAAAAGCTATCCGTAACGGCTATACGGAAATTGTTTACTACCCTTGGTAAGTTCAGATCAACATAGCATTTCTTTGAGCTTTTCGCATTTGACTGTGAAGCTTGATTAAATTCTGTAATACACGTTTCACAGCTGTGATGAGCCCAGGGCTGTTGATGATCGTGCAGGCGAATCTCGGATGCGATCGTGTAGCGTCCGTGGCGATCTTCACCCTCGCCCTGACCATCAACGGCGCCGTGACGGCTGGTTATCTAGGAAATGGTTTGGACATAGCGCCCAACTTCTCTGGAACTATTTTCGGAATGGCGAACACGTTAAGCTCTCTAGGCGGTTTCCTCAGTAGCTACATGGTCGGCATGATAACGTACAAGAATCAGACTTACGCTCAGTGGAGCATCATCTTTTGGATTCTGGCATGCACGTACTGCGTCAGCGGGTTAACATTCGCGATTTTCGGCACTGGAGAGTTGCAGAAGTGGAATAATCCCGAACAGAGCGAAGATGAAAAGAAAACGAACCTGGAAGGTGCTCCAGAACTCGAAGAATCCGTGCCTTTGAAGGACAAATCTCTTTCCTAACAAACGCTCGACCAATACATTTCCGTCGATGCCGAGAGTAATTGTATCCACGCGTTTAAAATAGATAATTTAAAGCTAGATTATTTCTAAACTGCATCATGCCATGTTCCTCTTTCGTACGAGTACAACGTTTGTAATTTATAAATGATCGTTACATAAACGAAAGAGTAAGAGTATTCACTTTCCACACCTGTTATCTTAAGTGATACGTGACATTTATTCATTGTTCGAGTTATCCATATTTTAAAAATAGCGGTAAAATTCTCTTGAATCAGCGCCATTGGTGGCGAAACGCCCAAGTTTGTAGTGAAAATAGTTCCCATTGCTGCTACTAGATGACGCCACACCAACTAAAGGGTCGATAATTATTGCTGCATTAAATAATTATTCACTAAAATGATAAATTTTACGTACTAAAATAATGTACTGTAGTGTTATAAAGCTAGGAATCGTATTAACTATGCAATTATGAAAAATAAATAATAAGATATTAAGAGGAACTGGTGGCGCCATCTAGGGGCAACAGTGAGAATTATTTTCACTACAAACTTAAGCATTTTCCCACCGATGGCGCCACATGTAAGATTAATTAATTTACTAATAACTCTTTCTCGATTCAGCAACTTTCATTTAGAAAGACTTCGTTCAAGACTCTCGACAGATCTAGTCATATTTGCAAATAATTTATCAACTATAAACTGTAGTTCCTTGCGCTCGATAATATCGTTAACTGTAAACATTCTCAGAAAGAACGTATCCCATACCGACAGGCCTCCTTTTCATTTCCTTTGTTCGTCTTATTTTATGCAATATCGTTTCATCGTCGTTCAACTACTCGTTATTACTAAGCGATTTCAGCGATCGAGACAGCAGCCACGAAGGTGAGACCGTATATAAAATAAAGTGCGACGAAACGAGAGGGAAGGGGTCCATCGACCGTAGGACGCGGCATCGAGATTATCGAGAATACAAGCCACAGAATGCATGAAAAGACGTCGCATCCGCGTCGCGATGACCGGCGTAGGGGCGCTGCAGGGGCGCTGCGCCGCGGCGCTCCACGGTCGTGCCAGGAGAACAGCAGAACGAAGAGACAAACTTGCAAAACTTGACTTGCGAATCTTCTACCTCTTTCTATCTTTTGCACTCAGTGCAGAGTCCGCCCGTTTGCTCGTGTCCCACAGTTTACCTCTGGATAGGCGACCGCGAGGTTTCTCATTCTGTGTTGACGTTACAAACGTTCTCAACCTAGGCGATACTTGATCCGACAGAAAAAAGTTCCTATGTTTAGAAACGTACAATCAGAATACTGAACCTCCACTCCAGGCATCTACTCATTTGTTTTTAGACAAAGAAACGTCGTCTGTATCAGCAGTGACGCGGTAACTATAAATATAAGTGAAGTCTAGAGGGAAATTGTAATCAAGCGAAAATTCGGAGCCGTTGCTTAGCTTACTTATTTTACGCGACTTTGTTAAGGTAGGATAACAGACGATATTCGGTTGAGATAGCATTGTTTATAAGAAACATTATAGAAATATCGTATGAAATTAATGTTATGAAAACAAAAATATCGGTCGGTAAAGTATCGAGAGTCAGAACAGGTACTCTTGAAGGAAAAGAGGGGATGCAAGGAATTCGCGGACTGTAAGTACCGAATTCAATCGCTATGTTGAAGAGACGCGGGGATCAGAAAAGCAATGAAGGTTGATTCGCTGAAAATTTGCCGCGCGGGACCGCCCGCTAGATAAAGGGTTTATCAGGCAAACACGAGTTGATAGCTACCGGTGACGCTTGCTTCCTTTGTCCCGATGGTATCCTACTCTTCTGTGATTAACTAAGGTTTAATCAGCTTCTAAAAGTTCTTTGTCAGCATGCACATGCATGATAATCCACCGGCTATCTCCACTCTGTTCGATAGTCGAAATACTTGGGATGCATTGAAATCGCGATCGTTTCTTCCATACCGAATAGAATATTAGAACGTCACTCAAATTTCCTACTTTGCCCACTGATCATAACCATCGAGGGTTTGCGGCGCCACCGCCATTGGCAAGACTGCTACCTCTACAGTGTGCGATCCTGTTCACATCGGTCGCAGATGTTTCGACAACGAAACGTTTTCCGTACGATTTCACGTCGTATCGTTCGAAAACTGCTGCGTGAGGTAATCGTCGCGATCAGGAGAAACGCAGATATGCTCATCTACGATACGCTATTTAAACAAAAATTTATGTTTGTACGTACAGTAGTATCATTCACAATACCACCTAATAACGTCTACGACGCCTAACACGGTACGAGTTTCTAACTTTGCAGATTAGTATATATAGAATCACGCAGTTCTAGAAGATGCGAGAAACGTGGCCCTCTAGTGGCCAGTACGTGAAGTGTCATCACTAATAGAGGAATGAACGCTGTAGATAACTCCACACCTTTTTTTACTTCCTTGATTTTAATAATATACCATTTCACCTGAATAACGTAAGTATAAATAAAGTAAGTTAGAAGACTCAGAAATTCAAAAAATGTTGGATATTCCTCTTGAAGTATCTTCAGAATATTAAAGCAACAAATACTACATTTAAATAATGATTATTTAATAAAAATGGCCAATGATCGCGAGAGAGGATTGCGCAATTTATTCAAAGCAATTGGCCCAGTAGTTGGACGCCGGAATACTGGGGGGAGAGTAGTCGAGGGCGATTATTAAGGATTCTTGTAATAACGCGCTCGAGAATGGCCGGTTGCACGCACCGATCTCGAGGGACGCCGATGCCCTCGAGTGGTCAAAGAACAACTTTCAGCGCAGCGAACTGCTGCCCTGGCCGCCCCCGACTCATGGGAACATCCCTGAGGCAATACCGGCTAACGTTCGAGTCTCCTTTCTGCTGCTATCGCCACCAATGCTTCTTCTCTTTCCCACCCTCCCTACGATTTCGATTTCGAAACGGAATCGTGCGTAACATGAACTTCGAGCAATCTACTTGGTCAGTAATTTCGCAAGAATGCGCCGCCGATTACGGAATTTTCGGACCGATAATCGTGCGAGCTTTACGACGACCAAACGAACGTAAAGCCGGTCGCATACCGTCGACTTTCAGTCGCACGACACAACCCCCTTGATCCTTCTTGGTCCACGGGGGAAGGCCGGAACGTGGATGAGCGCAGAGCTCGAACTCTTTGGAGTTGGAGGGAGGAGTAAGCGTAGAAGCAGAAGCAGAAGCCGCGGGCGGGGGAAGATATGCAAAAAAGGCGAGGCGGAGGAATGGATCCCGAGAAAGCGATCGCTGGAACAAAGGGAGGAAAGGGAATAAGGAGTAGCGGTAGAGAAAGAGCGGGAGGCGATGGTCTCCGGCGAAGGTGGGGTTGGGGTTCGTGTTCGGGGTCAGGGACGGGGGCGAAGTGGGGGCAGAGACGCAGGGGAAAGAGAAAAGGGCCGAAGATGAGCGGCACGTATGCGTGGTATGCGGGTGAGAAACACCCGGGGCGACTGGCCGCCGATCCGCCCACGTTTAAGCCGTGCGCTCTTCCCGTCCGGGACTCTCAGCCCCGTGGCTCTTGAACGACCGTGGTAAAGCGACTGATGTTGCTGCTGCTGCTGCTGGTGCTTTGGCAGCTTCCTTGAAATCGCCACGGCTGCGAACCACGCAGACCATCACGGTTTACCTCTGTGCTGTGCATGCGATTCGGGGAACTCGAACGAGAGGATTCGAGCGAACGCCCCCGCGGGCACACGCCGTTGTCACGCGAGCTGTTTTCTCTCAGCGAGGAGACAGGAGCAAACTCCACCGAACACTGTCTTCCTTCTTTCTCGCAAATTTCTACCTGGAAAAACATTCCAAATAATAATAGTAATTTGTCGTGGAATTAAAATAGTATCGTCGCTCTAAGTTTTCTACAGAGAAATATTTCCGCTAAGTATTGGATTTGTTTGTTACCCTATCGCATTCCCTACTGCACGCGTTAGACGAGCACGACCGACCGCCGCGGGCGCCAGTCGGCGACTGTGAGAAGGCTACGCCTGCTAACAGGCAACCCACCCAACGAGGTTGTCACGAGGGAAATCGAACATGGGGGCTGGAAACCACGACGACGATTAGATTAGAACAAGATTGCGGGACCTTTTTATATGGAAACGATAATTCTAAATCAATCTATCACTTCGTGATAAACTCGGGAACGTCCTATAATAAAATTTTACCTGCATTAATGCTTGATTTCAATAATGAATTAGCATTTGTAACAATGGGGGAGACGACGCGTGCCCGTTGGCAAGCTACTCCATGCTCGCGTGCTCGAACAACTTCCGGTTTATGGCCAAGACAGGGCACACCTCTGTCCACCTGTCGTAACGCTTGTCTTTGAAATTTCCTCGTTCGAACACCGGTTGCTCAGCCTCTATCGAAATTTGCACCTGATGTGACGGGCAGCCCCTTCGCCGAGATCGGGCAACGATAACAGCGTTAATGGTTGCGAATTGAGACCACTTCCCTTGGACGACAACCGACAAATGATCCAATGAGAAGAAACATTCGTTCTCGCGTAGCTTTTCTTCCTTCTCGACGGTGTTGGCTACAATGTAATTCATGATTATTATTTGTGGTGATTAATGATTAACGAAACGGACACGACTCTGCAAGGTGTACATTACTCATTCATTTGGAACGGAAATCTTTACTTTGGACTCGTGAAACGTGAAGCACTGCATATCTTCCATACGTAGTTATATATTTGCCTAAAATTTAAGTGGTTCTCCCTTGTAGTCGCGGAGATATCTTCATTAGTTTCTAAGAAATCAAGTAACACCTGTAACAAGAAGCAATTGTATATTGCCTTGAAGATTGTACTCTTCCATTCGTTATTCGAACCGTCTTATCTAGATGAGAATTTTGCCCATCCCTGGTCCCAACCCTAGCATCGACGTGTGATTGCAGCGTGCGCAAGGGGTGTGCATGGATCGAAGGCGAGTCGATCGCGATTGCGATCGCGAATACACGTAAACGCACCGATACTGTTCATTTCGGAAAATTAGAGACACCCGTTACACGATCGTGTACGCGCGCATTCAACGATCCACCAAACACCTGACACACTCGCTAGGCTCTTCGATGGGCCTCTCTCTTCAGTCCTATCACCTGCTTCGGTCGCTGTGCACAATTTTAAAGCGCCTACCGTTCGCGGTTCGCTCCCGGGAAGAAAAAACGCGAAATTTATCGCGCGAACCCATCCCGTTCGAGCCTGGAACTAATTAAGACTTTGGATGCATCGACGCATCTATCGGCCTGCGCACCTGCGCGAGGTGAACACCTTCCACGACTGTGTTATCGCGCGCTGCTATTGGTTCGATGATCGTGTCGAAGATCGTTATCGTCTGGTTCCTAGAGACATTGAAACACAGTAAAATCTCGTATATACGAACAAAATGACGCTGAGCCTCAAGTAACTGAACCATGGTTGAGCGTGGACTACGACGGTGGTAGTCTCATGAAGGGAGCAGCTAGTGGACCTCTATTATGTGTACTGCCTCGTCCCCGTCTACTGTATTGTGATACACTTCTTAATGTCCAACAATCTTAATTGGCCTTAATTATAGAGCATATTACAAACAGATCTATCTACCTATCTCTCTGTCTCTGTTAACGGGAACTTTTTACCTTCGCTCTTCCCGCCGGTTTACCTTTTGCACGTCGAGATAAGGTTACGTACCTCGCTACAGACCCGTGGTCCGCGAGTTTTTCCTTTGGCGAGAAGAAACGGAAACGCGGATACGGCGCGTAACCGCGGACACGTCGACGTTCGTATTGCAATAAAAGGCAGGGAATGAAACGGCGCCAGCTATAGCGACGAGGGTCGCCCGAGAGACACGTTTCGCATGAGGTACGTAGGCGTAAAGTTACTTCGAAACTTTATGGTGTACACTGCAATCGTGTGCCCACGTCGCGAGCCATGTCCTTCTCGAGGAGCCGCGTTCAACTTTACGCCACGCTAACAAGAACAAGGAACATCAACCGCTTGACAATTTCCGATTACGATGAAACTTGGCACACGGAAACGAATAGGCCATTGGAAAATGTTAAAGCCATACTTTTATCATTGATCGGCATTCGTGTTCAACGGGTGTTAAATCCACAACTGCTCTTAAAGGACAGTTTGAAATCCCTCTTGACAGCAGCTTCAGCAAAAATCGTATTAGTTACAGTTATCGAGGTATAAAATGAAATGTTTCGCAAAGAACAAACGATTAATCGTAAATTTCCATGCGTTTCAATCGTTACGTATTGGCCGAATAAGTGTCGCTAACATCGGTGTAAAAGCGCAGCGTCGGGATTGAAGTTGCTCTGGAATCTCGCAGTCAAGCTGGCGCCAGCCAGTAACTTTATATCGATTCGAAGGCACGGCTTGTCGACTCGTGCAACGATTCCCTGTCGGGGATATTCGGCTGTGAGCCGGTTAGTCAAGCACCAAGAGCGAGTAGAGCACCGATGTATTTATATGACGCGCGAGAGGTATACATCTGTTTCCATCCGGGCACGTGTCCGGCACGAAATTAGAACGTTCCGTGGAAGCCGGGAAAAGGAGACGAAACCAGCCAAATCGAGCGTAGAGGGAAACGTGGAACGCATCTTGATTTTCCACCGTGCACCGACATTGCACGTTTTGCCTCAGCTTTTACCGATTTTCCCGATTCTCGAGCAGCAAGCGCTTCAATCTCGAATTTCGAATAACATACGAGCTGTGACAGTAAGCTGTGAAACAAGTACGCGAGGAAACAAAATTGTTCGAAGCAAAACGGTTTAAGCAACAGCCCTGACGTGAGCAGAATTCCGGTGAAAATGCCAGCTGGGCGTCGGCGCCGCGACGTCGTATGTCGCATGGCGCGTGGCGTGCGACGCGTCCTTGTTTCGCGAGACACGGTCGCGATTGCCCTCCGACTCATTCGACCAAAATTTCCATCTCGAATCTATTCTTTCCAACTCGTGCTTCGACAGCCTTCAAATATTATTATTGAGAGCCAACAGTTGAAATGATCATAGGAATTATGGAGCTATCTATGTCGAAAATGTATATCAGTAATAGCTTTGAATTTCGCTTCCGTGTCTCACAGTCATTATAAACGATCGCGTTTCAGATCGGCGAACGAGTCTAAGTCTACGTCTAGAATCTGAGCGTATGCGCGCGCATTTACCTTTCCCAGCGTCGCTAATTCTTTGTTTCGCTCGGGTAACCAGGTCTATCGCCAGGTGTTTCGCGGGTGGAATAGAAATGGACCAAGTATCGCGGGTTACGCGCGGTTGCACGCTCATGCCCTCGTGTTCGAACATGCTCGTGCGGGATTCGATGTATAAGCGAAGGCTTCGATCTTCTATCGAATTCGAGACACATCCTGAACCCCAAGGACACTTGCTGTATATGAAGAATTACTATTAATATTTTTAAGTAGTCTAGTTACAAGTTTTTCAATTCCACGATCTATTAACTGTATCGTTGATTGTCTACGTACCTTGTAACCCAGGGATCCTTGGTTTGAAGAATCAATTTCTAAAGCTCGCGTTTATATAAAATTATTATTACAAATCATTTTGGTCTTAAGACAAATCTACTTCTATTCTTCGAGAACTAGAAAACGCGAAGGCGGAATGGACAAATTGTCGCGAGCGATTCTCAGCCATCGTCCAGCTACACGTACGCGGGAGCTTTTAAATGTGCGTGTGGCGCCAGATGTCGCGCCTCGTAATCTTTAGACCAAACTTCACCCTCCCTATGCTCGCACCCTTCTCTTTCTCTCCCTCGTCCACGGTTGCTCGCTTCTTCTCGCTTTGTCTCATACGCTGGCAAACATTCGAGAACGCAGTACCATACCCACTCCACACCAGCCGGTCGTATCGTGTTTCATAGTCGCAACATTTTACGCGGGACTGCTTCGCGAATTCGATTGGCTTTTCTCTTCGCAGCGTTACGAATTGGAAAATTCAAAATGTCCGGGTAAACGACAGGCAACCCTCTCTTGGGGAAGTCCCGCAACCGGCGCAGCCGACGATATTTGGAGCTTTGTGGAAACGTAGTTGAAGCGATGCCAATAACACGACTATTCTTCGATTCAGCGATGAAACAGTCCTAGTACCTGTAAAGAAATTGTAGTTAAATTCGACGCGATAACGTCTCATAAATAGATGAAGTTAGGAGTCATCCTGGTAACTGTTTACATTTCCTTGGCTCAAGCGTAGCCAGTCGTAAACTTCCGCGTGTATGGGTCGAATTTAGGGCGTGGTTTACGATGGGGATGCCCGGAACGTGCTATTTTTTGGGAACATCTGCTAGCAATACTAATACTTCAGTCGACTAATTAAGGTAGGGATTAAGGCTCGGTGTTGTATCCCATTCGTTGTCCTCTTTGAGCGGCCCGTTTGAGTTCCGATCAGTTTTGACAATAAATTCTCTAACTGTGCCTCGCATATTAATAATTGAAGGCCCGAATTTCGAGCATTAGGTAAGGCTCTACCATACCTGGAATGTTCGAAATACTGGTAATTTCCATAAGACTCCTGCGAGTCTGTATTTGCGGTTACTTCGTATACCTGCGAAGGTAAACGACTGCTTATTCCTGGAGTACGAAAATTATTGCACCTCGGGAACGAGGTCGGATGGGAGACACGTTTGTACGAACATTTCTTCATTGTTTTTCTGTCCTCGATCGAGCACTGAAATAACAAACTGCTATCACCTTTTGGAAACAGGTAAAATAAGAATCAATGAGGAATGCAGCACCCGACCTTAGTATTCGAGGGTTAATAGGAACTGTTACTGCCCTCGCAGTTCGTTTACTTTCTTTTGTCCCATTACACGAGCAAATCCGTCCCGTCGTGGCCGCACCGTGCGACGGGTAAATCGCGACAACGGCTCGACGAATCGCAATACAAAGGGCAAGGTGCGCAAAGAGCGGGGCAATTATGCGGACAGAGGTACAGGTAGAAGATCAGCCTGTTCTTGGAGCCAGAGGGTATCGGTTACACTGCGAACAATGACTCTGCTGGCTGTATTTGGGGTATCGGTGACACCGTATACAATTCCTTTACCACCTGGGTCATCGAACCGTCGTTCGGACACCGCTACTATAACCTCGAGGACCTCTGGCACCTGGGTGTTTCATTTCTGGCGCACTGGGTACCTCGGAAGCATCGGCTCGTCTACTCGTTTACCATCGAGCAGCACAAAGATTCCGTAACTGTAGCGGTAGTTTACTCGCGGTGGTCGAACCCGTAAACAAAGCTGTGATAAAATTCATTTTTTCGGGATTATGATAAATTTAGTATGATAATAAAACCTGAAACGGTACTGGTTGGCGCAACAGTGGAATTAATGCGAAACGGAGCGAGGTGACGCTAGGTTGCACGATTCTCTTCGATATCGTGACGGATCGATGAAATTTGACTTGAAGCATCGACGCAGGATGGGTGACGGAGGCTAAGGTAGAATACCAGGCAGAAAGATCTGGGCAGGTGAGAGGCCCTGGGTTCTTTCCTTGCGACCTCGCATAAATCAGACCTGCGCCAAGGGACTCGTTACGCTCGCACACTCTCGCACCACCCGCACGCTTGGCATTCGTAAATTTTCCTCGACGAACAATACGGTCTTGATGCGACCAGGGTTGTAAAGGGTCGGCTCTCGTCGAGCTTTGTAACCGATACCCTAAACCTATTCGTATTTTCTCGTACACCTGTCCGAGTCGTCTACGTCTCGGCCAACCGAGACGAATATCCCGTCGTAGCCGCGGTTGCATAGCTTTTCGAGACGAGCCCCAGCCGACAACGCCGTTCCTCCGAAAGTAAAGTCGGTCGTCGTAGTGCTTCGATGGGCGTCGAACGATTTCAGAGCGTTAAAAATAATTCAACGAGACCCACTCGCCGTGACGGTTCCGTTCGGAGTTATTCCAAGATAGGACACTTTTCTAGGGCCTCGTCAGAGCCTCGAGGAGAAAGAAATTGCTGGATTAACGGATTGTTATTTTTATATATTTATAGAACGATGATTCAAAGGTTTAACCTGGAAGCTTAGACCTGACTTACCTGCTAACAATAAGTCGTCGCTGTACCTCGTGCATCGTTACGTTCGCTTAACAATTGTTCTTAGCACCACGGGTCGTACGATAATACGTTGCGGACCAGACCTAGCCTGCGGCCCATAGTTTACCGACCCCTGTGTCAAATATCCATCCAAAATAACCCATCGGACCGCTACGTGGCGACGAAACTACCATCGCTAGGACGTCCGCTTTGTGGCAGCCAACAAACCTGAAATAAATAACGAAACGAGTCCGGTAAACGTGAATTTTCCTATCGACTTTGCGGGAAAACCATTTGAATTTTCAGAATCCTAGCAAGATAATCGTCTCGAAGTCGTTAGCCTCCCATACCAAAAAGAATTCTGAAAGTGCAAAGGGTTAATCGAGTTCGATTGTACATTATTCATTGCTCTTGATTATCCATTATTCATTAATCGCGATTATGCATTATTCATTAATCATGATTACTGGTTATTCAGCAATCATAATCGTGGATTACATTTTGCCCCAACGCTGCGACGCGGGATGGAAGCGCGATTCGTTTTCCAAAGAGGGCAAATCGAGGACGGAATTGGGAGTATGGTGGAGACAGGTTGGACGACCGAGGATACAGGACGCGGGATGGGGAATGCAAAACGATAGACGGAGGCAGAGCTAAGGGTGCAGGCTGGAGAAGGGTCGACCGTGGCGAAGGGTGTGGCGGAGGGTAGAGAAATAAAGGCAATGAATGATGCCGCGCGGCAGGTGCATCGTGGCGTGTTTAACGAGTGGCCCGGTCCCAGGCTCCGGTGCACCTGTAACCTGTACCTTGGACCGAAGGAATCGACTCGAAGGAGCTCTCAGCGTCCTCTACGTTCTCCGCTTCGAATCCCTTTCGTCACTTTCAGACAGGATTATTGGATTCTATGAAAAACCTGGCGACGATGTTCCACAGCTTTCTCAGTCCATTTACTTGCTACCAATGATCGACATTTGTAATTAATACTTTGAAGACTTAAACGACGAATACTTATACTGCGTTACGCCTTTCTTTGGGTATTGAAGTGCCCTACTTTTCACAGTTCAATGGATAACAACGCGTGGGAGAATTCCGCGGTATCCAAGACGATTAATTAGCCTTGCTTCCAGTCGATTCAAAGACGACGGGAAGCAACGACGAAAAGGCTACGGGTGCAACCTCGTGTCGCGACTTTCGAGACGCTCGACTCTCGATAATGGTAAAAGCGAGAAATTAAGGAAACTGGTTCGACGGCCAGAGCGCCTACATTCGCTGCTACCGCCGGTAGAAGGTAATTGGCGCGCGATATTTCAAGGACCGTAAGTCAGGAAGCCGAAGCCCTCGAGGTTCGAGAACGTGAGAAATAAACGACGGTGTATACGCGCGAGATGAAATACGAGCGCAGTACGGCTGCGCTCGGAGAAAAGTCGTTTAAGAATGCTCTTAGGCCGTTCCACTCTTCCGCCCTCTCTCTGCCTCTCTCTCTACCTCATCTCGCTCTCGATCGACCCACCTGTTGAGTCCCGCCGAGGCTCGTTCCTTCCGTCGCGTCGCCGTCGCGACGTTCCTCTTCCAGCGTCTACCTCGGCCACCGTTTCGATCCAAAGCTTCTACTTGGTTGTATCTTGGAACAGATTTGAAATCTTTTTTAAATTTTTGCTTGGGACAAGTTTCTGAGATTAGAGTAATTAAGTATTTAGAATTAAAAAAACGTGACGAACCTTGGATATGCATTAGATTACTCAATTTTTCAACGCAGATAGAACTGTAGCTCTTTAACCTGATAGATGTTACAGGCAAATATAAAAATGTCTAATAAAGTAATTCGTCCCTAAAGAGGTTTAAACAAAGTTCCTCGGCGAGTGATCCGGGAAAATCCGAAAGGACTAAAAGCGTAGCAGGATTGTCGGTGGGGAATAACGGTGGATGGGCCCGAGCGAGTATCCTCGCAGCTGGTATCGTCCGTGCCCACGTAAACGGAAAAGTCTGGAGGCCAACGCGAGGCAGCGGTCCGCCAACGTGTACCACGGTAGTCGGTAAATGGTACTCTCGAGGGTCGAGTACGAAGCGATAAATAGAAGACGAGGTATCGGGTTGTTTGTCCGCTTAAATGCGTCGCGGCTATTCTCCAGCCGCTCCGAGGAGCGGTAACTCGAGTCCCGTACGTTTCCCACGGTTCGTCGGTGTAAATTTCATAGAAAAACACGAGTCGCGGACGAAATGTCGAACCTCCAGGTTTCATCGATAAAAGCCACGGCTTCGTCACCGAGTCCAAGTTCTGGTTGAACTCTCGGACATCGAGTATACAGGAAACTGAAGAAACCTATAAACACAGAAAATTCAAGGAATCACTGGGACGGTTAAAACACTTTAAAAACATTGCTAGAAATTTGGGATATACTTTGAACCCTATCTGGAACGCGTTCCTTCCCAGTTTTTCGTTAATTCAGTCAAACTTCTATCAGTGACCAGTGAATCGTGCCACGAGCTCGGTGATCGGTAGCCAATGAACCGTGCATTAACAGAGGTACCTTAAAATTATCCAAGTTACGCGACGCACGCCAATATCAGTGTGTCATTTGAACCCTTGAGAAGCCAGTTCGATGCTTGCGAAACTACCATCCGGAAGTCTCCGTTAGTATCCACCAAGAGCCAGGCTGTGAAAGCCTGGGATGTCCAAGTCGTCGATTTTTCGCGATCATCGAGTCCTGCGATCCTTAACGAACTCTGTCGCTACAGGGGACGCGATCGATCGCACGAAATTGAGAGAGTCCAGTACCGATCGCTACCGTCGGTTACCGAGCGATACCGAGATTCCTTCGTTCCATTATCGCATAGCTGCGTGGCAAGCGTGGGAGCCTTCGCCGATCTCTCCTCGGGCTTGAACAGCTACAAATTACTACTATAAACTTTTAATGCTGGCTCCCCACGGGCCAAAGCCCTCGAAAGCACGCGTATACCTCGTCGAATTCCAACGAACGCCGCCGGTTGCCGCCTCCAGCGTATTCGAACCTTTTCTATTTCGTCGAACGCGCTTGTCTCGAGATCTGCGAAAGAAGGAACGACGAGATGAAACTTGTCGGAAGCGTGGCGATCGATCCCTATCGAGTGGAACCGTCGTGGATCCGAGTCGACAGCGGCCGGAGAGCTGGCCGTTTTTGACAACGCCAGGTGCGAAAAGAGGCTTCGCGATCCACCGCCAAATAATTCGGCCGTCTCGATGACACGCACGCACGTTCTCTCGTTTCGCGTTGCCTTCGCCACCTGCCTGCTTCGCAGCCAGCGACCGTAATCGCGTAAATATGCCCAACCTTGACTCGAAGTGAAACTCGCCTCGAAGGGGACAGTTATCGGAAGAAATTCGGTCGCAGTTCCAGCCGCGTTCCTTTCCCAGATTGCCAATTTTTTCCTAGACCTTATCACGGACCCTAAAGCCTTGCACCTACAAGACCTCCGAAAGGTAAATCATCCAGGCCTCTTTCGATATCCGAGAGGGCCTGGTTAGACCGAAACCGATCGAATTTCACGAGCACGTCCAGGCACGCTTTGCCTCTCGAGACGCGAGATCGGTTCCCCTATCGTCTCCTCTTCGCATTTAAGCGAGCATTTTTAGCACAGATGCAACGACGCACGTATATCTGTCGATCTATCTGCCCGCGTATCCAACTGTCCCCCTTGGCAGGCGATGCGACCTACCATCCGGTCGCGGTAATTGAAAGAGCGCCCTCGTGTCCAGTGAGACAGAAGGCGAGCCGATGGCGGAAGCGTCATCGCGTTATCGGACGCCGTCTGGCCAATTTGCTCTCGTCTACGCGAAACCTGCTGCATCTGCAATAGAACTTCCTATTAACTATAGCTTATATTCCAAAGCAATCGGCATACCAGTTCTCTTACGTAGTTAACGATAGATGCTAACGTTAAATGTACCAAGCGGTGTTCTATATCGAGAGTTAGAATGTAAAAATAAAGAGCCTTTATCAACATTACATTTCCGTACGTTTCGCGTTAAAAAGCTAAAGAAAGCCATGCAGTGGACACTTCAAACGATAATCGCGATACTCCAGAACGGCATCGACACCGGCCATAATATTGAAATAATTCACGCAATATTTATACGGCCTTCAATGAAGAAACCTTTAAAAAAAAGATGATCGGAAAAAGATGCCCGAGGCGAGTTACCTCGAGAACCGACCACGTGGTAGCCACGGCAATTGCGTGGCAATCGAGTTAACGAGAAAGTGGCTATCGGCTAAAGGGATCAAGGGAGAAAGAAGACGAAACGAAACGGGACGTGCAGCGAAGGGGGAAGCGTATATCCAACGAAGAGAGAGGACATATGGCAAAGCTTTAATAATTGAAGCTGACACTGGCGCAGATGCGAACGCAGCCGCGCGGTCCGCCCATCAAATATTTAGAGATTATAAAGCACGCACATGCTGCTGTGACGTCCTTCGCGCGATTTCCACGTAAACGTACATCGGCGCATGCCTGCCTCTTTACCCCTTCACGCCCACACCTAGATACGATGAGTATCGTTTATTCATACGGTGAACATTTCTATTTTTAACAACGCGCGTTGATTGGAGTAAAATTGAAGAAAATCGTGACTGCCTGGCATGACGCTTCTCCTTATCGCCCTTCGATCGTCTCCTGTCCTCTCCCCTGCGATACGCGAAAGACGTCGCGACCCCTGCGCTACGTATGTCCTTCGGTAAGGGTCTACCTGTTCAAGTCTATAGGTTAATCGTATCGCAAGATGAAAGAAACGCGCGTCGAGGCGAAGGTAGGCGCGGGAATCGATAAGGTCTGGCTTCTCGTCTCTCGAATCCCGTGCGATAGAGCAATTAAATGGACGAGGACGACGAGGCTCGAAGAGGGTCGAGGAATAAGATTTATTAGCGCGCGACTCTGGCGGCCAAGAGGCAAAACGGCAGGTGTGTGTGCCGATAGTTACGACACTGGGGAGACTGACAAATCGCAACGCCCTCAGAGAGGAGCGTACCCTTGCCAAACTTGCCCGACAGGTTACTACCGTGTACACGCATGAGGAACACAGATTGCGTCCGGGCATCGCGATCACCTTCCAGGTAGAGAGCTTCTCGTCGGAGATGCCGCGACAGATCGCATCGAAGGTATCAAACCTCGAAGACGTCCATTTTGAATCGTGCGCTCTGCAACAACAAAAAACATTTAGAAACAAATTATCTTGGAATCGACTAACGGTTAACGTATACGATAGCTTTATACAGTAGTACACTAACCATAAACTTCTATCATCTCGCTCTTCTTCCCACCGACCAGATGTATGAAAATTGGTTTATGGCAAATGTTCTGACACCATATTATTTACGATAGCCATTCCAACGCGTTCATACACGCTGGCCTGGGTTTTCGCCTTACCCTCGACGTTGCTATACCGAAGAAAGCGAAAGTCTCTCGACAAGGCAATTAGTAAATATTCGTTAAGAATGCGGAAATACCGCTCGTTGGAGTTTCCGAATACGTACGGTTCGCGAGGGCGGTCGGCTGACATCCTTGGGAATTTCCTTGGGCTTTTTCGTCACATCTGGTCAACACACATCCCGACGAATCCGATGGCCTGCGCGCCTTTTCTCTTTAATACCCTTAACGCACCCCTATCCGTGCATATGTTTCGCAGATACCGGACGGACGTGTTTGCACCAGGGGTTCCAGATCCCTGCGAGTGCCCTCATTGTTCTTCGCAGGCCATTTTATTGGAACGCACAAATTTTGGCATCTAAGGCAATCAAACCGAGCACAAAACGAAATACAGACGGGCAAAATGGTAGAATCATTAATTACGAACGTGAATTCTCATAAGGATTACGAAACACTGTTTAACAAAATTTTTTATCCAGATAAGAATTTTGTCTATCTCTGTATTGCGGTCGTAACGACGAGTGCGTTGCGATAGGAAACTACTACCTGTCTGCCGTTTGAGTACAGTTGCACCAGAACTGATAGCGAGTACGATATCTTTCGGTCGTTGTACCTTATCGGGCGTATCGATCTCGACGATTGAAATTCGTATATGTGACTCTCCGCGAACGACACCGTAATTTGACGTTTTATCAAAACACAGCCTTGTTCCTTATTTCTAGTCTATATAATGTGCAGAATTAGATGAATTTGACCTGAATTGGGTCGAAGAATCGAAAACACAAAGTTGCAAAGGTACGATTAACCGATTGGATTAGACTCAGGCGCTGATCCTGCCGCTTGGCACGAAGATTACGATTTCGCTGAGTTCTTCAAGCAGATGTCGAACATACGTCGGTGGTGCGCAACCACGATCAGCACCACGACCGAGGAACCAGGACCTTCCGAAGGATTTTTGGGGTCGTAAATAGTCCAGCGGGGGTAGAAAGCAGACGGAGCCTTTGTCGTCCCGTGGGCAAGTACACGTGACGCTACGGCCGTAAAAACCATCCGCTAGACCGAGGGAGGTAAAGACGGTTTGGGGAAGGCGATGCAGAGAGAAGCCCCGGGGGGAGACGGGACGGTTTAACCACCTACGATCGTAAGTCGATCGTACGCTGGAAACGGAAAGTTTCGTTTGGTTCGCGGGCAACGACCGAAATACGAGGCCCACAGAGAGCAAAACAATGGGCAATAAGAGCAACGAGTTTGGAAATTCCGCAGGAACGGTATGGGTGATCTTCGACGTGGCTCTCCAGGCCTTTTATACAGCTGGGTACTCTTTAGAAAACTTTGGACATATGTTTCTATCGAACTACAAACAAACTAAGAATAGGATAGAAGTTCTTCTAGGTACGAAATAGTTGGAATATTTTCACCAACAAAAAATATATTAGCTATCGATACTCTAAGCTGATTTGTCGCAATAATCGTGTTCCTTCTTCCTTCGAGGAAGCGTCTAATTAAAGTGTTGGAATCCGAAAGATCCGAAATATGGTTTGGGAAAACCCCCGATCGGACTGAAACAGGCGCTAGCATCAGACTAATTAAAAAGGTAGAGAACGTTATGGATAAACGTCCCCATTGACCAAAGAGGGATTCTCGCACGGTGGTCGATGCGTGTCCCGTAAACTCGCGCGTAGCCTCGTGACGAGACGCGACGCGACCCGACGGCACGGTCCCGCGCGTTACGATCCTCCGCGGGTGGCTGCTGACTCGAAATCGAATCGAGAACGCTTAAGACACTCGCCGAAGCGAGGGGAAGAGAGGAATCGCAGCGAGAAAGCAGGAGGAAAGACGCTTGGGAGAACAGGGAAGATAAGAGAGAGGGAGAAAGATGAACGACTCGGAGAAGTCGAGTCAAACTCTCGGCCTGCTGGCGCCGTTCTGGCGGCCCCCGCTGCCTCTTGCCGCCAACAATGCGCGCCGCACACCTCTCCCCCGTTCCCGCCCCCTTGGCCTGCCACCGTCACCACCGTCAACGCCAACACCAACACCAACACCAACCGACCACCACCACCTCCGTACGCCATCATCAACGACGACACCGCTCTCGTGGGATCCTTTCTAACGAACCTCGTCCCGTTGAATCATGGACCGGACAACACGCTCGAGGCTCCTCCGTGTCGCGCTAGCCGATCGAGTTTCCGTGTGTGCAGAGAACGATGTTTCGCTGCCCGCGCCTTATCATAGCCTGTACCACGTAGGTTACCGCTCCCATTAGCTATAAAAATAAGTAATAAACCCATACCCACAATCTCGCCTACACTTACTTACACGGTTTTCAAAAATTAAGCCAGTTTTTGGTTCCGTTCCTTCTGGACACATTGCGAGTATGGTAGTCCATGGCATGTTGTTAATATCCAGCAATATAGGTTACTGCTACAACGTTGAAGTATTTGGTCCCCGCTCCTAAAAAATTGTACGGAAATCTGAGTAAATAATGATGGAAAGAAAAGTATTCATAAGTATCTTTGGTAAATAGTAGTCGATTACTCGCACATTTAACAGTACGTGCACGCTAGTAAACGAAACGACGCCCATCGCGTTGGTAGTGGTGTCCGTGCGCGGGTAGCCAATACAGCGGTGCGATAGCGTTGGTAGTGGTAAGAGGCAGCGAAGTCGCAGGCCAGTCGGGACTCCCTCGCACGCGTATCCGATGAAAGAGGCTCGAACGCACGAGGCGAGTCAGTACATCGTCGACCGCGATCGAGCGAGGATCCGCTGCGCTTCCGTGATCCTCGTCTTCAGTCTTTGGATTCGAGCCAACGTTGTCGCTCGCGGTCAGTTCTTCGAGTGTCTCTGAGTATTTTGGATTACCAATCGCAAGGATCGAACGCACCCCGTATAGAGAAATAAATCGGACAGGAATCGCTCGCTCGTTTTGAACCTGTCCGCTGCACGTGTCTCGTGGGGTTCAACTTATGAAACCAGTGCGTGTGAAGTGATCAAGAACCGAAGACTGTGTTAAATCAGCATCGTGGTGCGCGATAGCGCGCTTTAATCGCCATCCAACATGACCCATCACGTAGTGGAATCCACCTCCGAACTGTCCGCCCTAATGAAAGGTGAATATTTGAACAAACATAAAAGAAATCGCGCGGTAACGAGACTTAGGGATTTCATCCATCGATCGCAGTTTGCTGGATGGAATCTCGACGATCTCGATCTCTAAACCTCGTGGCAGAGACGGGCTAAACTTTACCCGGCTAACGAAACTCTGTATGGCAAGATATTCGGATAAGATTCCTCTCGTGTAAAGTGAATCATAAGCGAGATTGTATAATTCAGATTGTAATCTTAGACGTACGACTCGTTCAACTTGTTTAAAAAATGATTGCAATAAATTGATAGCTCTTGTACTTATCGCTGTCGATGCGTTAAACAATGCTTATGTATCGAGCCATACAGAGCAGCTCTGTTTATATTCCATTATTCGTAATTGTGATCTAGACGTTCGCCATCTCCGCCTCGTGGTTTGCGTCGATCCGATCCGATCGATCCCCAAAGTCGTAATCGCTGGTGACTGTGCTTCGACAAAAATTGTACGAAAAGCTACACCGTTTAGCGGGCGGTCAAAAAACACGAGGATATGTCATTGGTTGCTAGAAGTCGTCGGGTGAGGAGTGTAAGCGTTAGCGCGATAGGATCGCTGTTCGCTCGATTGATAGTCTGTCTGGTGGGAGTTGCGAAGAACGATAATTATTGTTATGAACGGCGCCAGCCGTCCCCGAGCCGAGAGATCGACTGGTTCAGCAGCACGAAGGAACGAAGTCGTGCGGCTGCGAGACGGACGACCACGGAGTCTGCTAGACTGACAGAGAGAAAGAGAGAAATTGCGTGCGTGTGTGTGTGTATGTGTGTGTGCATCGCTAGATATACATACGAGAAGCTGAGAGAGACCACAATCCGTAAGGAATGGTAAGTCGAGGGAGGAGAGAAGTGACGGCTGAGAAGGAGGATGCTAGAGAGAGACAGGGCGCGGCGGCGCCAGCGTGGGTTGCCGCACAGACGAGCCAGCAGGCGAACCGACTCGCACGGAACAAACGACCCCTTGACCAAACTCGAAACTCACCGTCTAATCGCCCGTCCACTGCGTTCCAAACTTTCTTTCACGCCGATCTCCCCTTTCACTGATATTTTTATCTTTAATCGCGATGATTGCATGGCTGCTCCAAAAATAGACGAACTCGCTCGTGAACAACTCTCTGCTACGCACTAAAACAGAACGAAAATGAAAAGATATGGAAAAGAATAAAGGAGTTGCATTAGGGTAAATAGAAGATTAAGATGATACCTCGTGATCAGAATTATCGGTACGCTACATAGATTCGAGAGCAATGGATGCGGCGCTACCCGATCTTGCTCTCCAAACACATTTTTCGTATTTTTCACAAGATATGTACGTACTTTCGTAGCGTGATCGTATCCGACGATTGACGGGAAAACGCTTCGCGATATAATCGAACACCTTTGGCCTTCGAGTAGCCCCAATAGTATGGAAACAATGACTAAGCGATTCGATTTCCGCGCGGCGAACATCCGATCGTCGTCGGTAACGGTATTGACACAACCAGGCTGCTCGATAAGGAAACTCGCGACCAAAAATGTTGAACTCCACGGTGGAGAAGGCATCAAGGTCCAACATTTTTTGATCTTTTGATAAGCAACTCCTGAAATTTAAATCAAAGCAGAGATTAATATCGAGTACCTTAGAGCATCGAGAAATAACTAGAGGGGGGCAAATTTTGTTCAAAAAGGAGGACGAATCGATAAATAAAGGTTGATTGTTATAAGGGGGTGTTCGTTGTCCGAAGGGAAACCCTCGGAATCGGTCTTCGGAACTCCGGAATTAAGATGGTTCCAGGAATGCGATTACCAGTTAAACCAGATTTTACCTTCACTGTCTCTCGAACGTAATCGATACTCTATTGTGCGTGGCACAGGTACGCACAGGTAGGAAGACGACGAAAGGAATGGAGCGAGGAGGGCAGGGGGAAGGGACGAAGGGTGCTGCGGTAAGCGCCGAACCTTCCACCCACCTGTGCGCAAAGTCGCACCTGCTACCTGAACCGGACCTCTTCCGTTGGACCTGTAGTCTTTCGCGGCCAACCTTCGCAGCCACCTTCCTTTCCTTAATTTTTTCCCTCTCGCTGGGCACACATCTTCTTCTCCCTTTCTCACTCCCTCAGCTATCCCTCTTCTTTTTGATATCGATGGTGCGGACCAACGATCGAGCAAGATTCTTATCTAAACATACATTGCAAACAATAAGTAGAATAACAAGTAATTACTTTGTTCAGTCACGTGTCAAAGCGAGACACTTCGCAGTAATTAAAAAAATGAATAGACCGGATAAACGTCGCGAATAGATTGCTATACATGCTCGAAACGGCGTCTATCGCGAGATCGTCGTCAAAGGTCGAAAGTCAAGGTCGAAGGAGGAGTCTCCTTATCGTAGCGAACGATTCGGCATCTTTTGCTGCGCCACCATGATTATCAGTACGCACGCACTCTCAGTTCATTCAGAAGCGGTTTCGCGCAAGGCGAATCGGTTCGCGTATCCGCGACTAGCCGATATCCCACTCGCGGTCACAGCTACGCTATCGATATTCTTGGAACGTGCGTCTGTCGTGTTCGCGTTTACGTTTGCGGGACAAATATTTGTACGACTCGTGTCGGGAGCATTCTTATTTCCAAGAGATAGAACGCTCGTCCGATGATCATCTCGTCAAGTCGCATCACGGTGCAACTAAGATTGCCGATTGCACTAAGTCTGAAAAAAAAATAGTAAACGTCCGTTTTTAAGTATTTCTACACGACTAAAAACGAGGGGAACGTGGACAGTGATGCGACTTATAGAATGAAACTACTTTTCACGCGAAATGAATAAGAATTAGTAATGATAAACGAAATAAAATTTGTCCATTTCTGGTTGGTGCGAATCGCCAGTCTAACGGAGCGAAGGCGTTCATCTAATCGACGGGTCGAGAAAAGCAGCGAAGTCGCGACGCTGTCGCAACCAATGATATCGATTTAAACTCGTGCGTGGACCATCTGGCCAGCGGCGTCTCCTCCTCCTCCTCGTATCCGTTCTCGTCTTTCGCCTCCGCCGCGCTTTTCACCGGGGCCGACTCTTCCTCCTCGGGGTCAAAGCGATACGACGCTCCGCTGCTCGTTTTCCTCTTCCGCGAGCGCGCGTGCAGCGGAACAAGGGAATAGAGCCGAGAATCGGAGATCGACTGCATTCCAAAGGGTTTCAAACTCCCGCAATTTTGATTACTCGCGTTTTCCTGGTTGATCTTTATTCGTACCTGCAAGGAAAGATGGGTGAGAATGAAAAAAAAAAAGTTGCAAGTCACGCGTGACACACATGTGGCATAATCATGCATAATACGAACGATTGGTTACGGAATGATAATGTATCGAAGAAGAAGATACCTAATTTGCGTACTAAAATTGCCCAACTGTTACTTTTTAGCTACGATTGTTCTTTTTTGTATTGTACAAAATATTGTACCATTTTGATCGTATTGTTTTATCTACTATCGTTAATAGATAAATAGAAATCAGGGGACACAAATAGAATTCTCACGAAACACTTGAATGCACGATAATCGTTTTAGAGTACCAATCATTAAATTTACGATCCGCGATCTATCATTTGTAAAACGAGATCGCCAGAAAGATAAGATCACTCGAGTAAAGAAAGAACGAACAGTCCCGGATTAAGAGGAATACGGTGTTGCAACGGAGTAGAATGTGAACAACGGTGAGTAATTTTGCCTATAGCGCCTGAGTGTAACGTCTGACCCCATACGCCTCCGCGGGTCTTTTTCTACTTGCACTACTATGCATACTAAGTGCTCGAAAGATTTAAATAATTTAGAAAAATCAGTAGGATTAGTAGTCGATCATACATTTACTATTAGTTTCTGAACTACTTTAATCTAGAAGATATTTGAAAGATGCAGCTACGCCTTAGAAAAGATAGCGGACTATTTATTGTTTATTTCTTTACACAAAAGCGATAACTTGTCAGAAGTTACGCCTTCGTATCGCATACTTCCGGTTACTAGACTTCCCAGGAGTATCGCAGCGATCGATACGCCGTGCCTCTTGGCGCCGATGTTTCTTTTGATTCCAAGAGATAGAAAGAGGCAGAGGGAGAGAGATTGGCATCCGCTGTATGCGTCTACGCGTCTCCGAATGCGACTCGTTGGTCCTTCTCCCCTTTTTCTCGTTCCCGCGTCGGTCGACGTCGTTTATTTATAATCACCGCGAAAGTTGGCCGCGGTTCCTTCTCCTTCTTATTTCGAGACTGTTGAATCCACAAATGCTACATTCGACTATTTCTGGAGCGTAAGGACGCTCGACGAGGGAAGTGAACGGTGTTGACAGTTTCCGTGGACCGACTACGTCGTCTATGAGCAGATACGAGCAAAATTCTTGTCTTTATAAGATTTTCGAATAGTAAATAAAAGATAAACCACATCCGTTGCGTTATTCGTTCGATAACGGTTCTCAACGTCAGCACGTGCTCCTGTCGTCATCCACCTCGTGTCTTCATTTTTCCCCATCGATGCTGATGTAACTCCTGTGTTCCAACTCATTGGTTATCCGAATCTGCTACAGAAATATTGGTATATACCATCCATCCCGTGTATGTTCGCGAAACAATTTTTCGACAATGGCGACAAAAGAAGGGCATCTCTTTCGCGGACGCTTTCTCGAACTTATCGCGGGGCCAAACTTTCGCTTGTTAGTCTACCAGTTGTCCCAAGAAGTCGATGACTCAATATCAGTGGTACCGCCTTTCATAATTATCTCACGATTCACCTCCGAGATTAGCCAGATCTGATCTCTTATTCAAACCTACAATCTAAAGCGCCAAGCTAGCTCATGCTGACCCTATTAACCCTTAGACAACCGCGCGGTGTCCATCGGGAACCTCAACCTTGTTATTTCGTTTATAACTCATCAACTTAATTGGATTAAAGCGTACCACTTTAAGTGGCCCACTTCTTTAAACTCTTCGAAAAAAAAGGAAACGCAATTGCTTAAAAGAGTGTCGTAGATCAAGGTTCTTTGTGCTTATCAATTTTGTTCCGTCTCTAAATGAAATAAATAAACAAGCTGTGGAGTTGGGATTACGCGAAGACCAGGTAGAAACGAAGGATGCGGGTCGAAACGAAGGAATGCAACCGCGAACGTATGGCGTCTGTCACGGGTGTCTGTTGGTTCGTTTCCGACGAAACGATCGAAGATATCCAGCCGCATGGCGGTAGGATGCGCGCCTTCGCGCGAGTTTACACAGATGTTCACGGTTATTTCGGTTTGTTTGAACAATTGCCGAACGGGACGACAAAGGTGGCAGCGAGAGATATTCGCGAGCGTAATCCAGAAACACACACGTGTCCTTTCCATCCGCGTCAGCCGGATCCCATTGAAATAGACCGGTTTTCTCCCACGATTTAACCACGATTTAACATTTCGCGCTCTAATCATGGGGCAAATCTCGATCACAGTTTTTGGAGAATCCTAGACTTGGAGAGATTCAATGTCTGTCTTGGAACATTTCATAACTTCAGTTGTACTATTTCGTTGTAATAGGTGTTCAAAATATCGCCAAAAAAGTAAGTCATCGTTGCCTTTTCGGGACCTCGTCGCGAATCGATTTACTTTGAAAACAGCGCGATACCGAGGACTGCGTCAAGAGATAACGATTAACACACCTGGTGACAACGTAAGCCGCGTCTAAAGAGCGCTTATCACCGCCTTGATAAGCATTCTATGCTTTCGATATCGAGCATCTGCTTTCTCGTCGGACAAATCGGTGGGAAAAGAGACGGGTGCGCGTGTACCTGTAATCCAGGGATGGGCAAAATTCTTATCTGAATCAACATTTGAAATCACTTCGTCCGAAATAAATGTAATTATCGGACTTTCCACCGGGAGCTATATTTGTCCCGCGTAACAAGTTTATCTGTTCAATTATGAAATAGCATCTTTTAGATTATGTGTAGAAATTAATTTTGTGCCTTTCTATAGTAAACCTACCATTTATTTAAAAAGGCAGACTAACATTTCTGTTTTGACTACACTTATTGTAAATATTGGTATAAAGGCACCGAATTAAGTTTACACCTTAGAACGTAAAGCAGTTCCCTCGTGCCCCTCGATCAAGGGGCAACAACGACGACGACGACAAACAGTCGAGGATCGAATCGTCGGCGTCGACGAGATATCGCGGCACTTCGAGGTCGAGAGTCACGTTGGCATCGATGCAGCCAGCAGGGAGGAGAACGGATTTGAGCCGTAGAATCGTAGACGCATGCCGTCTCCGCGTCCGTCCGTCTCCGCAAAAGGCAACAAAACGAGAACACCGACGCCGGGAGCAGCGGTTGGCGCCAGCGCCATGTGGTCTTCGTTCCCCTCCGCGCTTCGTTCTCCTATCGTTTAAATGGACGGGGACGAATCGAGATAGCCCGTCGCTACTTACACTTCCAAGACAACGCACGCTGCGCGATGCGACGCGACGACTGACTACAGGTCAACGGATAAACGTTCCTCTCCTCTCTCTTCGATCGCGATCGAGGAACTGGAACGCGACGGGTGCGTCGCGTGCTGGCCACTCCAATAAGAACTCATCTGTCGATACCTAAGCGAACAAAAACAAATTAATATAATTGGAAACAATGATTGAGGTGTAAACTAAATTCGATTAGAACCTTAATAATAGAACTGTTACAATTGTGGGTCAATTCTTATTGTGTAAACCGTAGTAAGTAATACAACAAGGGTTTACCAAAGAAAGAAAGGAGCCTTCTATAACAAAATTCTATCCAAAATGAAACGTCACAGGCTCGTGCGTCGACCCATTAAGTTATCGACCCTAACTACGATTAATGGGGTCCACTCTATAGGTGGTGAGATTAAAAAACCGATGGATAGACTTTCGTAACATTGATTCTAGTCGACGTGAGCGAACGAAAGAGATTGCGCGTTAAGCAACAAATAACAAACGCGAGCAATCCGATGAGGAGAGCGAAACCGATAACGTGGATAAAAGGTAGGGAGGGAGATAGAACGAGGGACACGGAAAGAGAAGAGGGTTACGCGTATTATAATCTCGGGCCAGACCTGTGCGCCAGATGGTACCAGTCGGATGACGCACCGAACCTGAAAACATCCTGTCTCCTCGGCGATACGAGGCGAGACGAAGCGAAACGAAATCATCTCGACCACGGAATCACATCAAAAATAGCACCGTCGCGTACACTGTTCCTACTACTCGTGATACGTCTGGCTTCCTCGCCGCTTAATAGTCAGGAAACGACAGGTGTTTTTGTTTTTCACCTAGAAGCATACAAAGTTTGACGTTAGATCTTTGATACATTATCTATATTTTCACCTTCGGTCGGGTTCATGGTTGTATCGGTTATTTCAGAAACACCACCCTTGTAAGTCCTGGTACCTCACCCTAAATAGCGATGCGTATATTTCTAGCACTCACGCACGATTGTTTTTGTTTCCGTTTCAGCCGGTGTCATGGCTGGATCCGACAGGGATGCAGGCTTCTGCAGCGGAGGCGACGAGGACGACATGTCTGGCCTGCACTCGCCGAGCGCCTCGGAGGACAGCGTGGAAGTGCAAGTGATGCCGATATCCTTGAGAAACAAGAGGAAACTGGCCGAGCCAAGGAAGATTCAGGAACCAAACACAGCCCCCCTGAAAAAGAGAAGATTTGAGCAAATCGAGGAGACGGTCGTGGCAGACGAAGAGGTACCCAGAACGGCGCGATCGCCCAGTCCGTTTCGACCGTGGAGCAGTTCAAGAAAGAGCGTCGATTCAAAAGTCTCGTCATCGATTCGAACGGAACAAGCTACAGTTGTGCAGTCGGATACCTTGCCATCGAAAGCCCTATCCTCTATAGAGTCCACTGTCTCGAGTCGCGTTCGCGACAACGGCCACGAGGACGATCGCAACCGTCTGATCATCGTCAATGACACTCAGAGGAAACTCGAGGAAAGCTTCGAATCTCGAAGCGAGTCACAACGTCGAGACGATCTGCCATCTAGACTGCGACAGTCCACGCAAAATCGTCTACCTCGAACCGAAAGGCGGGAACCCTCCCGTCAGAACTTCGACTCAACGATGGTCGCCAGCTTAGCTTCGGCGCCCGTACCATCCGTAACGTCGACATCGACGCCTCGATTACAGGAAGAACCCTTGGCACTCGTCCTGAGGGGAGAAATAGGCACTAGGGTACCCTCCCATCCAGCGGTAAACGGCAGCTACGAGAGAACGTGCTCGTACTCCGTGGAGCACGCCTCATCGTCGTCCTCTTCCTCGTCCTCCTCTTCCTCGACGTCGTCTTCGTCGTCCTCCTTGCTACTCAACCGTCAAGAAAATCATCGATCGGGCACGAATGGTTGCAGTTCCTCTCAGACGATGATGACAACATCAACAACGGCGGGCCCTCAAACTGGCCATCCGAGGCAACAACATACGGCTGTGGGTCAGCAAAGGAACTACAAGAACATGACTCGCGAGAGGAGAATAGAGGCGAACGCCAGAGAAAGAACGAGGGTGCACACGATAAGCGCCGCGTTCGACACCCTTAGGCGTGCCATTCCCGCCTACTCTCACAATCAAAAGCTCTCGAAACTGTCCGTGCTGAGGATCGCCTGCAGTTACATCATGACGCTGGGCAAGATAGTCAACACTCCCGAAGGAGAGGCAACGAACAGCGCACCGTTGGGGGCATGCGTGGATCTCGTATCGAGAACAATTCAAACGGAGGGCAAGCTTCGAAAGAGGAAGGAAGACTGAAACCATCCGCCCACGCGGTCGGGAGATAATCGCCCGACAACTGCAACGTACAAATTAACGCGCACCGCCGACGCTGTCGCGGGCAGTATCCTCTAAAGGCCCGTGTTCACGTGACATTAAAGTCATGGACGGTTAGGCAATTCGAAGTCACGACAGTACGACTGTATATTTTGTCGTCGTTTCGAGGCTGGTCCCTATCGCAGCATTCGTCCTTAGAGTTGTGCTGAAATACAAATAAATTGGGAAATATAATTGGGTTACATTGTAATTCGCGTTACTTAAGTAATGGGGTTACTTTGGAAATGTCAGGAAACGTTTTGAACGTCCCGTGAACACGCAACTTAATTCACCGGTCCTCGACAACCGATTCGATAGTTTATCCTCAAATTCCTACGAGTTCCAAACTCGATCCGCTCTACTCCGTAATAACCAGCGCTTCTGCGATTAATAACAGTACTGTATCAAGTCCCGCGCTCACGTTCCAGACTGTGTAAGTTTTCCAGGAGTTTCGACGCAGCTACTATGTACGAAAGCTATAGGAAGAAAACAGGAAACATTAAAAATACTTATTTTCATATAGGTGTAAGCGATCGTTTCCTCAGTTCGGGAAATTTTTCTTTTGCATATTTCGCATATGTATATATAAATCAATATTTTTAAAAACCTGACTTACACAACCACGGCCATTCAACTAAAATACGAACCCTGTTTTCTGTCGGTAGTCGTATCGTTCAGCAAATCGAGGATTGTAGAGCTCGCGAACGTTACAAATGAATGTATGTACGCATGTGTGTTATGTATGCAAGCGTGTATGTACGAATCGGACTGCTTCGATTCGCGCATCTATTGTTCACGATGCGCGGCCAAGTGTATCCTTCTACGCTGTAAAACGATTTTGAAGCCATACGCGCCCATTTCCATCAAAGTTCGATGAAATAAAACGAGATGAAGAACGTAAAGATGTTGTAGGTGTGTTACTGATAACGATAAACCTTCCCCACGTCCACGTTAAAACTGCATGCGTACACGCGACGAAATTGATTCTATCCTAATCCATCTGTCAGCAGTTACAACCGGTTGCCGCTAGATTCGTCGAGTACAACCTCAACCTGCGCAAAATCACTCTCGTTATCAGTACCGCGACAGAGAAACGCTTAATACACACCTCATAAGACAGAAATACATAGATCCTTGGATATGATATTTTTAATTAACCATCATTAAATTGAACTGATACCCAATCTTTCTTCTTGCCACTAGGCTGTGGAGCAGGTGTCTTCGCCTTCGAGTCGCGTTAATGATAGCCGTGAGCTTCGAATATGGAAATAAGAAGATAAAAAAAAAATGATTCGTGAAAGTAACGATTTTGTTTCCTTCCTTCCGGGCTTAAACCATTGCCGTCATTCCTACCAGTTTGCTCGCTCGTCCACCGTCCGTCCCGAGACTATTCGTGCAGCAGGTGGCAATGACGTCGACTCGCGACGAGCTACCTTCTCGAAAACCGGCCTCGGATGCTTGGCCATCGGTTTGGTCAGCTTCGCCATGTTTCTCCGCGTCTCGTTAAATTTCATCGCGTCTCGCGACGATGTTTGATTCTCCTGAAATTAATCACTTTAATTTAGAAACAGTAGCGCAATGGATATTTCTTATAATTCACATTAGTGTCTAGCAAAGACATGATATACAAAAATAAAGTTCCTTTACACTCTATCTGTGTTGTTACTTTTGGAAAATCGAAAATTGCGTGAAAGATTGCCGAGGAAGTCAATTAAAAAACGAACGCATCCCTATTGGCAGCCCACCTCGTCCGTAGCGGAGCGTCACGCGGACGCTGCATGCACTCGATCGACTATGCGCCGTGCAAGGGCATCCCTAACATGGGCATCGTGTAGCGCCGCGCCAGAAGAGAGAGAACTCGAGTGCGTAAAAACACATCAGCCCTTCTGTGCCCGGTGGTCTCGTTTTTGCTCTTGGCTTTCGCGATTGTCGTTTTACTTGCCTCGTTCAATTCGTTTCCTCTTCCTGTCAACACTCGTATCGCACTCGTGCTGTTTCACGCTCGCGCAAATAACAGAGACGGAGAGACCATTTTTCACTGAAATCAGACCTTGATTCATTGTTAGGTAACGAGACATTCAGAGGTCGGTTAAGAGATGTATATCTAGGTATTGGGGGCGAATCGAGTACTAACGGCGAAAATGTCCCACTGTTACAAAGAGAAAACCGCGGTATAAGATGCAGTGCCGTTCGAGGCGCGATCGAATCAGAAACGGAACGCGATGGACGCCTGCGGTGCATACTCGTCGCCATTCACACTGCATCGAACAGAACCGACACGGCGAGAAATTGTACGCGTACACCTGCTGTGGGAACGCAGGTGCGTTTACCCGTTTTCATGAGCATCGCTTAATTTTCGGTGGTTACACGCCGGGAATAATAACCGGCTCCTTGCTTGGAACGCGCGCGGCTCCCCCGACTCCTGCACAAAGAGAACGCGACAAAATTACCGTGCTCGTTGGTATTCGCAACGATATCGATGTCGACATCGACATCGACGAGAAGATCTTACCGTTTGACAACGACTAATTCCATGCTTTGACTCTTCCCCAAGAGGCTCTCTTTGTCAGGCCCCTATCAGGATTGGTAAGACGGACCATTCGACTTGGGGCACACAAAGAAGATTCTTAAGGTAATCACGTCGTAATTTGATAATACTAATAATTTTCATACAAAGGGCAATTTTACTACGTTTCGGGAAAGTCATTAGCGACTGAATAGTATCCAATTCCGAAATAAAAAATAAAGATCAGCCCGAGGTTTACCGATGACAAATATCGAAGCCCGAAGGGGAGAGAGATGCACGGAAATACCGTGTCTCGAGTTACGAATCGCGAATCAGGCGTAGCATAGGGAGACGAAAACAGTCGCGGAATTTAGGTAGAGCCGGTGACCATAAAGCAAGATTAACGAGGCGAAATACTGTCTGGTGGGAGGTTGCCAGAGTGTTGGCGCCAGCTGACCGTCGCCGGTCGCCGGCCGCTACGTCGAACGACCTACGCGAATGCGTGCGTACACGCTTGCTTCTACTCCCGGACCTTGTTCGCAGTCTCCTGGTAAGCGTGATTCGCGGTACACAGCCGAGCGCAAAACAATCTCCTCTGAGACCATGCTCGCTCGTCTCATCGCGATTCAATTCCCTTCCCTTGCCCTCTCCGTTCTCCCTCCATGATTCTTCCGGCCGTGGACGCATGGTTTTCGTCGCGGGATGGAACACGTGGCCCTCGACGGAATCGTTACCGTTTATGGACCACGAGAACAGGAATCCTCCTCCGGTGTGCTCGTCGAAATACTCAATTTTCCAAACGAAAATTGCTTAACGCATTGCCGACAGATCGGGGAGATCTTCCCCTTCGCGATATTGCGTTCACATAAAAAATGATAGCGATGTGTAATTTACCTGAGGTATTCAAAGTTGCGTTGGGTAGACTTAAACAAATGTTTCTAACTGACTTAATACTCGCGAATCTTGCAAAAAGCGATCATTCGATTTCCCATCTACACCAACCAGGCATCGCGCCAATCACTCTACTTTATTTTCCACTTCCCTTTTTCTCTGCCATGTGGCTCTCTGTTGCTCGTTAATTGCTCGGTTGACTTGCTGTCTGGCCGACTGGATTGTCGGTTGGGCGATTCGCTGGCTCGCTGCCTGTTCTACTATGTAGTCGTGTTACGTATCCATCTCCCTGGTATCAAGTACGACGTCGACGCCGTGTTACTCGAAGGAAGAGCAAATTGTCTGCTGATTCCTCGCTAAAGGAGACAAAAGAGAAAAAGAGGTCAGCGTACGCAAATTGTACACGCATATGACTCTAAATAGTAAGAATTATTGCAAATGCAGTCGAAACGCGATGTCGAGTGGTACTCGATATAGGAACGCGAAGGGGTTAACCCATTCACTGCCAAGCAAATTTAAAGCGCCAAGATTCAATACAGATGTACATTCTACGCTGTTATGTTGACAATAAGAAATGATATTAAATTTATGTAATTTATATATATATTCTTTCACTAATTGCAATCGGATAGGTAAAAATCCGTTGACTGAACTTCAAAAGAGAAATTCTTTCCCGCTGCCAACTACAATTGCATCGCGATAGTGTTTTGGTACGGTCGAACATAATCGCTAATACGTTCTATCTCGATTTGCGTATGCGTGTACGTTGCAGCTATCCTAACGAACGCGAACACGAATGGCAAATGGCGGGTGACAAGGTATCGGTACCTGCGCTTAATTAACGCAGCATCGAGTCTCTACCGGTGTGGCACCGGAGAAACCACCAGGACGCTAGGCTCGATCTCACGTTTACACTGTAAACTTTACAGCGATATCCTCAAATGCTCCTAATCTCCTGGAATAGTAATACGAAAGTACTTTACTAATCATAACAACAACAAAAAAGTGTAATATTTGTAAAACTTACAAATACCCCATGTCTTGGCTATTTTCAATAACCGTTTACCGTTTCAAATAGATTTTCTCTGTTACCATAAACGTTTCACCCGTGCCAACCTAATAGGGAACAGGGGGAAATTTAATAAAGGGAAGCGTAGAAGAAACGGAAGATGAACTACAAGGAAGAATGAGCAAAGAGAACGATACCGTTCTCTTGCGAGAATCGGCCGCAACTCCCTCGCTATCTGTCTTTCTATCTCTCCCCCGTAGGCACGCAGTGCGTACGTGTTCCGTCCAAGTATGTGCTCCTCGTGTAGTCGGTGCGAGAGCGATTCTGTATATAGGATGCGACAGTGTGGCGCCAAGCTCTCGCATACAAGCCAGTTTCCACCGCTCTTTCGCGACGGTGCTCGCAGACCAGTGTACAGGGTGTTCGAGAAACAACAGCAGAGCAATCTTATAGCGGCCTTACTCTTGTCGGAACCTTTGATCTTCTTATCCTCGTATTTTCAGACATCAATACCGTCCTGCGTAAGGTGTATTAACGTTAAGGGTGGAACCGGGTTCAGGACGCTAAAAAGGAGGTATTTTTTTTACGAATTTAAAAAAAAAATGTATTAACGAATCTTTATGAAACTTACAGGGCCTTCTATTAGATATTTGGTGATAACAAATAATTTTGTTCAATAAAAACTTGTACGTGGAAAACCATGTACATGGACATGTTTGTCGACCTCTCGTCGCCGAAGTTACAAAGTTGCGAGGATTGTAGAGCCTTCAATTTTTGCTTTAAACAAAACAACTAAACATTTTTCTAAATAGAGTCCTACTGTTTCTAAGCACGATACCGTCTAATTTCGTCTTCAGCTTCATGTTGACGCTCCAGATTCCAATGTCATTGCCTCCGATATCAAATGCTGACAGTGACAAACTTCTTCGAATTGGGACCTGAAAAACACAGTAGTTTTGTGTCCATAAGAGTGGAGACTCTTGGAGACCTTCTGCAGAGTCTTAATTGTAAAAGTACTTTGTGAAACAATCAACAAACCTAATCATTTGACAGCGTTTACGGCAAAAACGGATACAACCACCAGAGTATGTTTTTTCGCGAACCACGTGACACGCGATCCGTTCCTTCTGACTCTTTCACGCCCTCTTCTTGTACGCGACAATTTGAACGGTGAGAATGGTAATCGTTATCGGCATTGTTTGAAGGGTTTGCTGTCGTTGTGATATACTGTCGGTAATAAGTTGGAGATGACGCTATTTTTCTAACACTTTTAAATATAATAAATTAGCGATAAATGTTGAAAACAACACCTTCGTATAATAGACACTAAATCTATTCGATCGTATTACTTGAATTTTTTATGAACGAAAAGATATGAAGTAGTATTAAATTAAAAATTATCATTCAGCGATAAGTAAGATACACACTGTCGATAAAAAAGCTGTATTACCTGACAGTGTTCGTCCTGTGTATCGTAGATGTCGCTACATAACGGTTTACCGTCACCTACACAAGCAAACTAAAGCATGTATGTCGGTTTCAGAGGATTTAACCTCAAATTGTAAACCGAAGAAAGAACTGTTGCTTCTGTTATCAAACTGATACTGATTTTCATCAGTTGCGGTGCAAAATGAGTAAGTAAGAACAATAAAGTTTTTAATTTGATTTGATAAACAATATTCTTTTTACGAAGTATACGATAATTAATATAAAAATACAAGGTTACCAATAACTAAACGATTAATAATTTTTGTAGCACGAAGCAGAGGTAAATTCTTGTCGCAACAAAGTGTCAGAGCGAGTAGTGGCAACGTTACTATTTTGTCTCAACCTGTTCCATCCACGAGTAGACGCGATCAGGGTTCGCCAGAATCTCCTCCCAATCGTGTAACTACCCAGGAAGAAAATCAACTTGTGGGTAGTTTGATAAAGCACCTTTTTGCTTTAGATAAGAAAAAGCAAATTGTAAATAAAGCACGACTAATCAAGAACGTCTTTGGTGGCCAGGGGAAACAGTTTCATCAGCTGATGTCTAAAGCAAAACATATACTGTCAAATGTACGAACGAAAATTTAAGTTTACGTAACTTTTTAGAATTTTGTTTATATAATTGCATATGTTGACAGATTTATGGATATCAACTGATGGAAATCGAAAGTGGCAAATACATTCTGGTAAATGAAATAAAAAATCCTCATCTTCAACCATCTAAACTTGAAGCTAGTAAACAAGTACTATTATTCTTAGTGCTTTCACATATATTTATGTCTGACGAATTTTGTACTAAAGGTAAGACTGCCTAATTACAGAAACACACAAGAGATAAGAATATATAGCTATATTTTTCAAATTACTTTAGAAACTTTGTGGGAATTTCTTACAAACATGGGTATTAAATCAGATAATTCCCATCATTATTATTTCGGCGATGTCGCACAGTCCATAGAGGTAAGAATGAAGAAAAAAGATATTGTAGCACGTTATGAATTTGGTATAAAAATGGAATTGAACTCACATTCGTGTATATTTAGGTATTTGTTCAGCAAAGATATCTGGAGAAGGTCGCCGTGGACAAAGACGATCCAACAAAAATAGAATATAAGTGGGGAATGCGGGCCGAATACGAAGTTACTCGACGCTCATGTTTAGAATTTGTATCACAGGTAACAACACATGCGTATACCTACTTTCATATATGCGCGGTATATAATGTATAAAGTATTGTTTATCCTTAGATCTACAGTGGGCGTCGAATAGAGAGCTGGCCGGCACAATATAAAGCAGTAATCGCACACGAGAAAACCAAGAATTGTGAGTGATCGACTAGTATGGATAAAATGTTGCTCGTGAAATTACGAACAATGAAGCCAGGCGCAACGACTGTGATCAATAAAGTACAAATTATTTCTGAACAATAAAATTATTTTTGAATATAACGACCGAATAATTTCAAAAACGATATTTTCCCAACCAAATAATAAGTTTCTTCAAACGTCCCCGAGTGCAGCCGTAAAACTGCGAGGCAAGATTAAAGTTCGTACACGGTCTTCGAGTTCAGCAAGGGTCAGAGGAATCTAAAACATATTCAGCTGCCCTAGTTTTAACCAAATCTAATCGGATTCATATTTTCTTGCGACGTTACGTTGCACAACTCGAAGAGCTTCAAACGAAATTGATTTACAGAAACAAAAGAATTGTCATTGTCTTCAACGTGGCATTTGAAATTTACAATAGTAACACAGTCTACCTCACTTTTGATGAAAATAAATAATCCCGCAGCAAAGCTGCGTTTTTCATTCAAATATAGACAATCAATCTTTAGATACAGTCATGGGAAAAGACAAGCGACGCTATATGTATAGGACCAGATAGTACCGAACGCTTAATCGTGAGGTTTCCGTTAAGTCGACGATCGCAGCTTAATCTCTTACTATTCCAGCATGTCTCGCAAACCCGATTACACTGTCCACCAGGAATTTTATTTTCCTATATCCACTGGGTGATCCTTGAATCTTGGGGCTTGGAATAGTGAATTGATATCAAAGTTTAAAGAAGAGCTGATACGCGTGGTTCTGATGCGTTAGAGTAACTGTTCGAGTAATTAAGCATGTTCGAGTTATCAGGCACTTGGTATAGTTTTTCCTTAATATTAAAAATGACGAATGAATTTGGCGATATTTATGATCTTTATGGGATAATATAATATTAGCTGTTTTTTCATATTTTTAGATTGAAAGCGTTAGTGCTCCAATTTAAAACGTATTATCGCAAGCGAAGAATGATTGCCTGCTCGGCTTAGCAATAAGGTTAGTAACAACTTTTATAGTTTCTTAGCCTTAATCCTGTTTTCACTTAAGTAAGTTACAAAGACCATATGATTTCCTTATCATTACATTTTTATTTGCAACATAAAATGCAGAGATGAAGAGGATGGCGTCATTATTGTCGGCACTCTTCATTCGAAAACGTAACTTTTCCTTTACTGAAAGCGTGATTGCGCAGTGAGGAGTACCGTGGCAAACTATACCAGCTGCCCGACTACCAATGCAGCAAATCTGTGTCAGTCAGGCCGGGCTGCAAAGCAGGCGCTAAACATTCAGTGTTCGTCGGTGTTCCAACCGGGCCTGGTGGGTAGGTAGTCGCGTTGCGTCGCGGCGCGCGCGGTTCGCAGTGTCGCAGTACCGCGCGCATCCCTGCACTCTTACCCTACTTTTGTTAACCGTTCATTTACTCGTCGTACGGGCCTATCTTTGGCCTAATACCGATTAGTTGTCGCTAACATCGGGGACCAAATTCGGTAAAAAGAAACACGCGCGTATCCATCCGTTGCGTCCTGCATCGCATCTCGCAAATCCTGCCATCCGTGCGCGTTTAGGCTTCGTTTTTCGTACAATCGTCCACCTAACGGGGTAAACTAAACAGTAGTAACGATGACAACGATTTACAACCATCGAAGAAATCGTGGCAAACCATCTGTTGTTTATAAGTAATCGTTTGAATGCTGACAACACGCGAACCGATCATTTGATCAACGTATAAAAAAACAATATAATGAGTTCCACGAACAAGAAACAAGGGGAATGAAAAAAGAAGAGAAACGGAAAGGTGAACTCTTGTAGAGGTGTTAGAATCGAAGAAGCTTGGTACCCGTCACAGAATTGTTGAGAAGGAAGTCAAAACTCGCGATACTGTAATGGTAACGACAAATGATTGATTCAGCCTTTCGCTGTGGACGACGTGTAATAACATGAAAGTCAACGGTCCATTTTTATAAGTTCAAAGCAAAAATTTATTTTGAAGATTAATGCAAAATATCAAGTGTTTTATTTTAGTATGTACACGTCGTCGAGCAGTGAACTTCAAGTCCAACCCTATTAAACTATTAGCAGTTGAGACTTAAACAGCGTAGTGTTCTCATAACTTCATCTAAACAATCTTGCTTCAGGTATTGGGACTCACAGACTCATAAGTGAATATTTTCTCGGGGGCGGGAGAATCTTTTGGTTGAAGAGTACTTATGCGGTTCGATGTGACGGACTCTTTGAAGCGTCGCAAACGAAAGCATAAGAAACTATTTGATACACGGAGGAGAGAACGCGGTGGCAAACGATTCGAAACGGCGCGCAAGATAAAAAAACTCGCCCGAAATGTTCAACCTCTATCAGAACTTGAACAAGAGGGACGACGATCACAAGGAACCGGTCGTCACAGGCCATGACAGATTCTGGCAGGAGCGTCCGAAAACACGGCGGAAACGTCGTGCCGTTAATAGAAGGACTCAGAGTGCCATCGAGCTAGACTCCGAAGCTATCGTATCCGCACGGGGAACTCTCCGCCGTGGAAGAAGCGCTAGCATAGAAGACGATGACAGCGACGAGGAAAAGGGCTACCAATTGACCAATAAAATCGACAATCTAGCCAAGATATTATTTAGTCGCGTGTCCGCTGCACGAGGTTGCAAGGAGTCTGATGTCAGGTAATTCGATCGCTTCCATCTACTAAGCAGTGCTAGGCAAAGTGTAACCGAATCGATAATTACAATTGACCTTATTGATAGCTAACGAACACAGCTAACATTGCGATTCTGTAATTCAACTAATTTTCATTTAACGAGCATACGGATAAGTAGATCATCTTTTATTCATCATGGACGATACTTTTGTCCACGGCTGTCTACATTCCCTTGATCTAAATAATAACTGAATCGATATTGCGATGCATGTATTACCGATTATTTGTGCGAGAAACGGGAGAGATAGAGGGAGAGAGGAACGTTTTCATACGATCGATACACGCTGAGTTACTCGATTACAGCTAACGACAGCAGAATCGTGTTGCTACCTGAGCTTCGAATCGAACCTGTTAACGCTGTATCCAACGAGTTACCGTTTCTGGCAATTTCTTTTACCAAGCATATCGATCGACCTTGAGTCCCCTTAGCTCTCTTAATTACACGATACGAGGAGACCAAGCCGATATCGCGTACACGAGGACGAAGTTGAGTTCTACCGATTTAAGCAGGCGTTATAATCTGACATGTTGAAAAAATTGATTTTTCTCATCTATTTCAAACACTTCAAGAATACACCCTTGAAAACTCTTATTAAAATTTGTAAAAATAATGTAGCGATAAACGCTTTATCGTACGGATTACTGGTTTCTCCGACAACTGGAATACCTTCTTCATCTGTCCGCATTTATTTACAAACGATTCGGTCACGCAATAATCCCTGTGTACATGGATGATCTATCACGATCCAAACAAGTTTCTATAGGACGTCTACGTGTAACACGTAGCAACGGAATAAGTAAAATTCCAAAACGCTGAATCTGTATTCGAAGTCCTCGTGGCAAACTCATCTCGGTAAACTTCGCTTCGACGTAGTTTAACCATGACAACGCAGCTCGTTGAGATGCGATTATCACATACGGACGACCGCCATAGGAACTGCTCGCAGAACGTTCAACTTCGAGGGAAGCGAATACCAATGACACATCCGCGCTCGTTTAGGTGATATTAAAGATGGCCTGGAATAAGTTATATACGTTCAAAAACTGTATTCTTTTGTTACAACTTTGTTGTTTGAATTTCCCTATTACAGCTAATGGCAATTAATTTTCAGGTCAAAGAAAGTGAAGTCTCCAGTAGATAAAGATTAACATTCCTGACACCTGCTGCATAGAAGTTTTCAATAAAAAAACTAACTCTATTAAAGAACTGCAATTTCAAGAAGAATAACCACCCGTACAACTATGGAGTTCGATGACCTCCAGCATGCATTTGAGAAAGGTTCAGAAACTCGGAGCAGGTGTCGAAAATGTTGATTTCCTTCATTTTCTTTCACTTGAACAAGTTAGAAATATTAGAAAGGAAGAGTAGGGAACATTATACCAAAACCAAATAGTATAGATAAGCAGATTCTTAAATCCAATATAGACCTACAAATACGGCGGTTTCATCTTGAGGTTTTGGAGCGAAGGTACTCCGATGTGAGCTAATTACTCGAGTAGTATTTGATTCACTGAAAGTGCACGAGTTTTCGAATATTAAATAGTTCCCGTAGTAAAATACAAGCAGTCCAAACTCTCGAGAGTACGTCGACAACCTCGCTACATTTTTTTCAACTGTCATCTAATTGGATGAAACCCTTGCACTCGTAGACACAGATGGCAGCTCGCTGGTAACGCTAACGCGGTCGATCCAGTTTGTAGCCGTTGGTTCGGGAATCTAATCCATTATTGGCATCGCTCGAGGTACCATTCATCCAACCGAGAAATTATCGTTATACACGATTATGATTTTCCGAATGCTTCGAATACTGTCAACAGGTATTGCTCTTCACTTTCAATGGACTTACTTTTAATGCGTTAATATAATTATGAAAAACAATGTTTAGATGTCGCATGTAGTTCCATTCATGTATGTATTTATCTCTTTCTTTCACTTCCAACATTTTGTTTAAATTGATCTTTGTTTCTTTTATCAGCCTTCAACTTCATGTAAGTAACTTTCACAAAAATAGACTTATATTTAATAACTCCTGGCTTTCAACTCAAAATATGGAGTTGTACGCGTTCTAATAATACTTAATCAGCGATTGGGGATTGTTACAAACACCTCGTTACGATATCGTTCCTGCCTGCTCGAAACACAAAGGAGAACTTCTAACTCCTCTTCCTCTTGTCTAATTTTTTCCATTCAACACCCCCCGAGACGTATACGATAGCTCGATATTTGAGCGCTATCCTCGTCCGTTGCATTGTGCTGGCAAAGTGAAAGGGTTGGTCACTTATTGTTAGCAACAAGTGCCGCGTCTTCTGTTTGAGAGGAAAGCAAATCGTTGCTGAGAAACTGACTGTGTTTAGTTGTAGTCCAAGCAGAGGTTTGATTCTCCTACTATATTTATAATATCTCTACACTTTTTCCACAAAAGACATATACCGCAAGAGCGCTATTTCTTTAAAGGAGAAAGTATAAGCGTACGAATGTTGTGTTCGATACATAAATTGCTCGTTAACCCCGATCATAGATTACACTTTGCCTTAAAAACAGTGGGAATACAGTAAACAGAAACGAAAAGTATGACAGAGTTGCATTTTCATTGCTTTTGCCGTGACAGAAATGGAAGACACAGCTACACGGCACTGGGTCACGGACCGTCCGTTTGCGAGGATGTTGGCGAGTACATGGAAATGGAGAGAAGGTCCCGGGATCGTGCCTTATCAATCTGTCAGGTTTATATCCGAGGGACGCCTCGCTACAGTCTCATCAAGCAGCTGAATAATCTCGGTAAGCTCACCCCTTTGTCTCCTCGTCGCAACTTTATTTTTTAGTATATGTATAAGGCGCACGTAGAAACGCATACGTAAGTATTCTGCGGAGAATGGGTGTCCTTCCTCGGGAAGTACTTTCGAACCTGAAGAAGGTCTTTCATTCTTTGTACACAAGGTGGTAGCAAAAGAAAATGCATGAAAGCGACTACTGTATATTTCTCGTGATGTTCTAGGATCGAGAATGGACAAACATTGGTTTGCTGTGAGGGACACGTCTCTAAAAACCGATCGGCTGCTCACGTTGGCTCCGTTGAGTCGGAACTGCTCGTTGAGCATTTCTCCTCTGACCAAGAATATCTTGAACGACTTGTTCTTAGCCTTGCAACATCCGTACATTTGTCCCGTGTTCGATATCGATTTCCTCGAATACGAGAATCAGAAGTACGTGATCTTGGTCCAGCCCATCAGTCAAGGTAGTCTGAAAGATCTGATATACGGGGTAAGTAGCAATGGTAATACTTCGTAGCATGGACAGGTATGATGAGTTGTAGCTATTGAACAGATCGAAAGAACCGGTTGGAATGAGGATTGGGGCCAAAAATACGCTTCCCGCGGAAAGGGGCTACCCTTGCCCCAAGTGCAACAAATGGGACGTCAAGTGTTGGAAGCGTTGATTTTTTTAAAAGAAAGAGGATTTCCAACCGTGACCCATTTACACTCGGGAAACGTGCTCGTCCAAAACGGTGTCGCGCGGCTCGCCGGCCTCGAGAACACGCTTCTCGGCTTCACCAGTCGAATACATCCAGTAATTGCTTCTCGAATGTCGCAAACGACCACCTCCATTGATACGATATGCTTCGGTAAGATCAATTTTAAGTATCGTGCGATCAAAACAGACATAATCATCGTCGTTTCTTAGCGACCAAATATTTTATGCAACGTTCGATGTCCTTCTAGGTCATATGCTATTTGAAATGTGCGCTGGCTACGAATTACGATCGTTTAAACCGAATTCCGTGCATTTCTCGGATCTTGAAATGTATCCACAAGTACAAATCTCACTATCTATCTATCTGTTACTCGTGTGCTTGCTTTCTTTTTTTCTTTCTCGTTTGCGCACTTATTGTCGCTCGCAAGAAACATCCGTGAGGTTTTCTTCTCAGATTCCGATGAAGCTTTGTAGAGAGTGAAAACAATCTGAGAAGGAGATGACACTGATAATCCTCTCCAGCAAGAGAGAAAACTAATCGAACCGTCTACGTATACAGGTTGTCGAGTTACTGAAATTCATATTCGTCGAACCAACTAGTCGTCACAAAAACATTGAAGAGCTTCTCGTTCATGATTTGTTCAGAAATATCGATCTTCGTGAAATGCGAAGCGCCACCGTCACGGTAAGGATTTTGTCTTTCCACAATTTATGCTTATTTCCGCGCTATCAAATTCTGACGTAGCACTCGTCTTCTTAGATATTCCGACCAACCTTGACACCGCCAATCGTCAACTTACTCGACGGGATTAAACGGCAAAACGTGAATAAGAGGTAACGAAAAGGCTACGCCGATATCGTCTAATTTGTCCATGTAAATTTTTCTATTACGCTGAAGATTCATTTTGCATGCACAACAGGCAGAGGTCACGCTCTATAAGCGACGTGTATTTAACACGCAGATTGTGGTAATGACACCAAAGATCCGTGATTAATCAACGTAAGCTTCGAAGGTATACGCTTATTAGAACTTAAACCCACTCTTTCTCATTTTACAGAATCTCAAGTTTGGATGATACAATCGACATAGATGCAATGTCTCTCCACAGGCCGGACACGGTTTGCGAAAATTCGTTACTCGACGAAATATACAACGAGCTTTCGAACACTGCTGTATAATTGTGGGAACAATGTTTATTCGGTACCCAATCCAATTCTTGGACGTTCATTTGACCGAGGATCATGTATTCGTACGTTTCTTTACCAAGTGCCAAAAAGATAGTTTCAAACGTTCAATCCTAACGGCGATGCAACGATAATACATTTAATAGAAAAGTAAGACGAAGACGAAAAACAAGGAAAAACGAATAAAGAAAAGTTGTACATGTACGGTCGACTTTATTATTTAAAGTATTAAAAGACACCCAAGAAACCTGCATTTGCCAAACAATGGGGAACGATTAAATATTTACTTTACAAGCGTCGAAAAGTATACAAAAAGACCAGAAAAATTACATTCTCGTGTATGAATACTAGGGATGATGCGTGTGTATATCAATCTTTTGTTATCATTTTGAACAAGAAAATAATATCTCACTGTAGCATTTCACTATCGAACAATATCAGGTTAGATTCGGATAAAATTGATCTTTCGATCACCAAACTATCTTCATATGAAATTCTTCTTTTCAAAAAAACTTAGTAATAGTTGCGATTGGTAGGGATTAATCCAACGTAGGTCGTAAGGTTATACAAACGTAGGAAATCACAGGAAGCAAGGAAAAACTGATTTTCCTATAGTTTTGTACATAATGTGTATCATAACCTTACAGGGATCAAGGTAGTATAAGCATCGATTAAGTCTTAAAACAATAAACACGGATATTCGACGCTCGTTTAATCGATCGTGGAAATGTGTATATAACTTGCCAAATGGACTTTCAGATCGGTAGTAAAAATAGGCATTATTGCTTCTTGATGATCTTTTCGATTTAACGTCTTCCTTATACTAGATCGGATCGTTGATTTAGCGCACGGACGCGTTTATGTTGGTAGAAAATGTCAATATCAAATAATTTAATTCTTTATTATATCTCACGGTTTATGAAGCACCGGCTTCTAGTTCGCTGGCTGGCGTATCCGGTTCTTCGTCGTTGTAAATGTTTTCTGCCATTTGCCACACTTGCATTATATTGTCCTCTGACACTGAACATTTGACCCATGGTTCGTTCGGATTCCATGAAAAGTCACTGATCTTCGCAGTGTGGCCGCCATGTATGAACTGTAAAATCCAAACGAATGTAAGTAATATGCTTTTTATGCAAAGTAACGTACCAGAAATTATGAATCGAATATACCAGTAACTCAGGTGGACCATCTTCAGCATCCTCGCTGGATTGTTCCTCGCCAATTTTACTAAGATCCCACACATGTAGACGCCTGTCTGTACCGCTACTGGCTAATATCGTTTCGTTATGCGGCGACCACTGGACTTGGAAGATCTCGTCTTTATGAGATTCAAAAGAATGCAGTTTTAGCTTAAGGTTCCTCAAATCCCAGAGCGCTACCGTTTTATCAGCACTACCGGTCGCAAGGATAAATTCAGAGTAGGGATTGAAACTTAAACAATTAACTTCAGCAGTGTGAGCGTCGACCGTGTGACTTGGCTTGCTAGTATTGTTACACCTACGAATGAAGACAATTCGTTGAAGAATGATAATAATATAGTTTCCTTTGTCTCATTGATAATAATTACCTCGTGTCCCAAATCATTAATTTTTGATCATCCGCGACAGATCCAAATAAGGATTCATGCAACAGATGCCAAGCTACATCTTCAACAACAGCCGTGTGCCCGGTAAAGATCGTTTTCGCATCTATAACACGATTTTCCTTAGGTGGTGCATTAATATCCCACAAACAGATGGTATGATCATCGGATGCACTGAGCAAGTACCCATTGAGATTTGGATTCCACGAGAGGCCGTAACCTTCCTTTTGATGTCCTCTTAATCTGATAAAAGCATGACAAACCAAATTTATATAAAAAATGACATGGAATAATTGCTGTCTAAAAAGTTATTCTTTGCATGCTTACCTTAGATCAGGCTGACATTCGCCATTTGGATCTGGTTTACTGGGATGTTTTGTATAGTCAAAAACAAGAACATCACTAGATGGTGTTTTAGTTGCTATGACACAAGGATTTTGTGGCATGTATCGTGCCCTGTTTACTTCTCCCTCGTGATTTATCTTTATTTCAATCTCTATTTTTCCACTAACAGAACCGAATCCTCCAAACTCACCCTTCTCATTATCATAGTGAGACGCGTCAAATTGAGCATCCTCATTTGGCAATTGAACACTAGCAATAAGTAAATGATTCTGTTCATCCGATGTATGTGTACCCAGAATAAGTCGGTGTACAGAGTAATCTTTTCCCTCTGGTCTGGTTACGTCAGGCAACCACTGAGCAGTTAAAGATGGCCATTCTAAAGCATGTGTCATCACTAGATCATACAAAAAGGGAGTATTTTTTTTCCATATTTTATATTCTTCATTGATAACTCGTTCCTCCACAGCATCATCAAATGTTTCTGCAATGATATATGGAGTAAAATATATGAAATAATAAAAAAATATTAGTGCAAAATTTAAATATAAAATATTAATTTTATATAGTTAATATCCTAGATGCAAACAATTAAATTACATTACTTTATTATGGAGTGGTGAAAAAGGAGGCATGTGAAATTAAAGAAAATTTAATTTATATGTTTTTAATACCCTTAACAAAATACAAAACGTTCTACATTAATTAATTTAGTCATTCAAGAAAAGATATACAAAACAAAGTTACGAACCAAATCGAGATTTCAACTAATAAAAAGGTGTCCTTAGCGGTAATATAACCTGCCGGTCAGTAAATGTAAATCTTTTTCTTAGACTTCTCGATATCACGATACAGAAACATTTCGCATTTTATTTCAGTCATAATCTAGTATTGATGGTAAATTAAATGACTAAGACAGACGTATTATACTTTCAACAGAAATAAATTTACCAAAGTTCCTTGTTTAAAGCAATCTTGTTTACTATGATAAGAAAGCGTCCTTTGAAAGAACGACCGATCGCTGTATTTATATGAACGATTAGAAAATTTAACAAGAACGAGAAACAACGAATGTTATTCTTACCGTCTTTATCTCCCATCCTCACGTTTTGCTAAATTTCTAACGTAACACGTAAAATACCGACGAAATCTTAAACCCGCCAAAAAGCCGCGAAGTCTAGCCGGAATTCATCAAAAATGCAAACGTTGGCAAACGTATTTGCTAAAATGCCTTAAGTATACGCCGCGTTCTCACTGCACAATTCAGGGACGACTTTAGTAGAAATAAATGATGTATCAACAAAAAGAAACAAATAAAGTTCAATTAGAAGAAATTAATTAAATATCTGATTGTCATGTCGCAGGGAAAGTAAAGACTGTTAAAATTGATCACGAGTTTGCTTATTTATAAACAAGGTAAGTATGTTTTTGAGAATACTTGACAAATAATGTGTAGAATAATATTTTTATATAAGAACATATTGTTATATAATATTTAGTATATATTTCTTTAAACTTAAATTATACAAATTAAATATAAATATAACTAAAGTTTTTTAAAGGGATACTTACAATTGGATATTGCACCGAGGCACTTGTAACTCTGGCGTCGGCCTTGGCGCAATCTCATGGATAGGCGACCTAATCTTTTGTGATATGTAGCTTTAATTACGTTTGCATTATATCCTTTTTACTGTTACATACGTATGAATTGATGTGGATGTTGTGTCAAATATATTAAATTATATAGTATTTATCGAAATTGTGTTCTTTTCGTGATTTCGTATAATGTATGTGACACGTGAACACCGAGTAAATATTGAAGCACTGCAAATAATTAAATTACAATTTAACGTCTGTTAACGTTAATAATATTCACTCGATAATATCATGACTATTAAATGATATAAAAGACAAGCATTAGGAAAAGTATAACGAAAGCTATGGAAGATATCAATGCAAAGAGAGATGCTAGAAGAAGACGAATTTTGGAAAATTCGGAGAGACGTTTGTTGAAGATTACTGGCCGAAATGGTAATACCAGATCAGAAGGTAAACATGTTTTCATTACGACGTTAGATAATAATCGTTATTTTGAATATTTCTTCAAACAGATTATCGTATTACAATTTAACCTTTGTAGATACATCTAGTCAATATTCGTTTCCCTATAGCGAGGTACAAACAGATATCTCACAAGCAAATGTAAATGGTGCAGTATTAGGTAATGAATTTTTAATACTCAGAATATGTTCTTGTTTATAACGTTTGTTATTATTCATTTGTTATGTGATTACAGACAGGTGTAACGATGAAATTAATACCGCAAATGTTTTCAATTCTGATGATATTTGGAACAGTACATCGACCACTTTCAAAAATAGATACGATACAAGAACCGAAGTCGAAAATATCCACTGTACTCCTAATTATACAAAATTGTTACTACCTGGATTATTAACAAGTCGTATAAATTATATATTGCTAGCCTTTGTTGTCAACATTCTACTTGTGTTAGAAGTGGATTATTTATTTGGAAAGGTAATTAAAAACAACGAAATGTTAAGTAATTTCTTTGTTCTTTTAAATTTTTATTGTATTGTAACAATTTCTCTGTTCAAATATAAAGATATATTTAATATTTCAGACAATTGCAATACCATACTTTCCAATAATGATGGGACGTCTGTACAGTTGTAAAAATACACAAGAAACACAAAATGGTAGTCTACTGTATGCTGCTTTGATTTTATGTAACATTAAACCTGAATTAACTTACCAGTTGAAAAAAATTGTGTCAATGATCCACATGATACTTGGAGATTTAGCTTTATACATTTTTAGTTTCACCCTAACATATTATGCGTTTTTATATTATTTTCACGAAACAGATATTTTAATTAATTTAAATGTATGAATAGCATTACATTTGAAATACAAATGGACAAAACGTTTATCCTGAGAACAGTGTTTAAATTTTTATAGATAATAAATGCACTTGTCATATATTGAAATGTTCCTTAAATTTATGTACAGAAAACAATATGCGACCTATTACTTTTATTCTTTGGATTTTTAAATGCAGAGCCTTTTCCCTTTATATTTCATGTACAAGCTGAGTCTAAGTAACGATTAGAAAGAATACAGAAATATCTTGATGTTACTTAAAAGTACAAAATTAATCTGGTCTCATCTGATTAATACAGATAATTGCGCTACAGCAGGTGTATTAGAACACTGACAATTGTTTAATAAGAATGAATACAATTTATAAAAATTTACGTAGGTAAAGTTAGATACAAATTCCACAGAATCTTTTTTGCTTTTAAATGGAAACATGTTGCTATCAATATTAGGAAGTTCACATTTATGACTTCCATGGTATAAAAAGATGTTTTTGAATAGATTGATCATTCCATGTAATTTGTAAACAATTTGATATTTTCTATTATTAATATTAAATAAGTTATTTAATACCTTGCCTATTCCTTTTCTTTGATACTACGCAGAGTTTTACTTCTTACAATCTCTGAGTGACCCAAAGTTATCATCTCCCTTTCCCAATTTGCGAGGTCTTTTTCATATTGTATCATCAACTGCGCTGCCTCAGTTGAAAGTTGTTGCTTCTCTTCATTTGGCAAGTCATTCCATTTTTCTTTCATTGACTTTAGCCATTCCTAATAAAATAAACAACAAATTTTTTTTAAAATTAGTCTCAGTTAACAGGTTATTGACATTAGAAGCATACCAAAGAAGACATATCTGGACTTTTGTTGTCCCTCTGAGATTTCAAAAACAACAGAAATGCATTTTGTGGTCTTTTGGGCTTCTTAAATATTGTTTGTTTCTGTAATTAATGTAATTCACATGAAATTTAACAATGTTAATCAATGAACAATTTAATTGATTAATTACCAATTTATTTTCTTTTTTAAGATTCATTTGTTGCTCCTTAATTTTCATATCATTCATCAATTCCAGCTGTTCTTTTGTCAAAGAACTTTTGAATTTCTGTAGTTCTTCTTGATAAACTTCATAGTTTCTTTTATATTGTATTCTATAATTTTCTTTAAGTGTAGAATCCATATTTGCCCATTCTTTGGATGCCATTTGTACTACTTCAGAAGATTTTAGACTAGGGTTCTCATTTAATATCTTTTGTCTAACAGATTGTATATACAAAAAGAAGGCAGGTTGTGGCCTCTTTGGTTTCATGGGTAAATTTTCTTTCAAACATGCAGCTGTACTTCTTGCAACGCTTTGACAGGAGCTCGGCAAGTAACTTCTACAACAATAGAGAATATAATCATAAACTTTATCCACATTGTCCATAGGACAACTTTCTACAAAAGCTTATCCTAACTTAACGAAACATTTAACCAAGTTATATACATGCAATATAAAGGTAAATCACAATACCTTGGACACATCAAATTTCTTGACCCAATAGAAGCGATCAATCTTCCAAAACCTGCCATTCTACTTAGTAATAAACATTCAGTGTTATTAATATTATTTAATATTATTTAGTTCTTGAATATCGTTGAATATGATACATGTGATAAACACCATGTGGTACACATACAGTGTTGAACAGACCGAACTAATTTTTGGAATTTGGTTAGCGCCTCTATCGGGAAAACGCCCAAGTTTGTCCTCGTATAGTCCCTATTTTTACTGCTAGATGGCGCCATTAACCGCGTTTTTTACCGATATTATGGTAATGTACCTACAGGTCGATAAAAAAATACTGAAAATAGCGCCATCTACCAGTGAAAGAGGAACTATTTTACGACAAACTTGAGCGTTTTCCCGATAGAGGCGCTGACCATACATCGAAATTTTAGTTCGACCCTTTCGCCGCGAGATGGCGATACCATAGTTTGGCACAAAATTCAATGTATTTGAACGAAAAAAATGTGAACGATCAAAGAAAACTAGCAATATTTCTCGCAGTTTTTAATAATTCATTTATATAAAGCATTAGAAACATTATTGAATCTAAACCTGGTACTAAACCATACGCGCTCCGTATAAAAATGTCTCGCAGGACGTGGCTGGCGAAAATAGAAGATACATGATTGTTGCGATGATTTGGTGGGCATACTACGCATCCAAAGTAATTTTGTAATGAACATGCTTGTTCGCTTTTGGAAAAATTCTACTTCCGGAAATGCTGCACGATCGACGAAACCGCAATTTTGTACAGTCAATCGAGAAGCAGTTCCATAAACGTTTGGCTAAGCGACGTTGGGTAAAACTTGATTCGAATAATACGCGCAGAATAATAAGGACTAATTCGGTTAAGAGTGGATGGAACGGTTGGAATATAAACAATGATTTTTTTCGAAGATGATCGAAGCAACTGGTTAGTCCGCTCCGCGCGTTGATCGGTGAGAGGGAGGGTGGGTGGTGCGCGAGTGAACGATGATTGGCCGAGGCGGTCGGGGTAGTCGAAATTCAAGCGAAGAAGCGGCAGTTAGTGTAGCGACCGTCGAGCGCTTGCAAGCGCTTTGCGTAGCTGCGTAGAATCATAGTGTCGTTTGGTTTTTTCGTTTATCGTTCGTGTTGCTCGTGCGAATATTTAATCGTCGCGTCTCAGTTTTGTAACTTGCCTTTAGTTTCTCGTCACGATTCGCGCCACGCCACGTTACGCCGCGCTTCGCCTTGCCTTGCCTCGCCTCGCCTCGTCCCGACTCGCTGTTTCGCAAGCTAGTTTTCCCGGTTTAAACACGGAAAAGGGAGCAAAGAGTTAATCGCAGCGACGCGATGACATATCGTGGCGTTACGGTGACATGTTCTGTGAAAGTGAATTAGTGGTGGTGATGATTGCGAGCATCATCAAATACCAATTACTACGATGACCAGCTGACGGATAAATTCCTCTTCCACGTCCCTACGGCGTCAACGGGGTTGCCACAGGTACTGGAAGGTGAGCTTTTCAATTTTCTTTCCTATAGATCGAACCTTCTTATTCGAACTTTCGTTACGAATCTATATCGTATATCGCAGTTTTCGTTTTCGGATGATGTACGCATCGAGTCTCGAAATAGGATTGCCTGTCATCTTGGCAGACACCAATTAATACATCGATATAAAATGAATTGCAAATAACAGCCACCTGTAGCCTTTATAGAATAAATATTCACGGTAATCGTTGCGACTAATCCTCATTAATATTAACGTAATTAAAAGTTAAACGATCGATCAACACCCCTTTTTAGGAAAAGCAATATATCGTAAATACTCAAAAATAATAAAATGTAGTTATTTACTATATTTATTATCCAACAATATAATCGATCGTTTTGCTTGGACAAGTCGATATACCAATTTACGAATATCAATTGTAACGAGTCGATGTTTTATTAAGAAAATAATAATGAAATTCTTGATGGACACCGCGCAGTTTTCCAAGTCTAGGGGTTTGCTCGACACGGGTCGACTCGAAACACGTGGTACGATTTCTAAGCAGCCGATTCCTTTCGAAAAATGTAAATCGGAAGTAATTAAAATCTGAACCACTATTTTTCATTTCACGAATTTACAAATGCAAGTCTTTATATTCTTTGTCCTCTTTTTCCTTGCATCGATTCACTGAAATCGTCCGAAATGTGAAAAGTATATTGTTTTTTTGCTAAATAGAAAAGAGTAAGGACAATTGGAATCCGAGTCCCGAGGTTCCTTTGCGAGTAACACCGAATCGATTTTCACAAATTAATTCCCGTCTTTCGCAGAAGATCGCTTTCAATCGAAACGGAAGTTTTAGTCCCCCTTTTCTCCCGTTGGATACTCGAGGGGATGAATTTTCTTGAAATTTTACGCCGAACGATTAGCTATGCAAACCGATTACTTACAATTTAAGCGATCGAGTTCCCCCTTGTCCATAGGGCCCGCAAACTTGAATACACCATCGAGTACGCCGACGACCAACGCGGAGAGACCGTCGCGTCCTTGTAAAATCGTAATTCCTGTCGTCCGGTTTTAGCGACGAGGAAATTTGTAATTTGACTTGAAATTATTCGACGCGTTCTTCTCGTTAGGAGAAAACCAAGTGCGGAAAGTTTGGCGTAACTCCGTCATACATATTTAGAAAATCGATGGAAAACTCGACATCGTTAGGAAGGATTTAATTAATAGCGAGACGCGTGAATAATTAAAGTTTCTCGCGGCGAAGTACTACAGCGCGTAGAAAGTATGAATAACGATACGGGAAAGCAGTGGTTGGTTTCGAAACCGATTATAATCAGCGAATATACGATTTAGATAATTGTCGAAAGCTTTTCGAAAGGCTGGACAGCAGACGGATGATTCGATGTTCCTAGATCGAATGGTATTCCGCGCAACGAGAGAGGGCACTCTGCGCGAAATGGTTCGCAGCCTTACGATATCGATTCATTTGGTACGGATAATTAGCGATATCGGCTTATCCGTTGGTAATTCGAAAGAGGATCGATGCTCGTTCTCCGCGGAACGCTGTACGGCCTGAGCGTGGACGGGCAAGGATGCGGGTCCGCTACGGTCAGGCACGAGGTTTTTCGTTCGCCGAAACGTGTACTACATCTTTTTTTTAAACAGAATTTCTTCCCAAAAGAATGACCATTGAATATTTTCGAAGCAGCGCTCGGTAGGTTTATTCGTGTAGATGCTCGTATACGTGGAATTTTTTGCGCCGCTATTCGATCTTTGCCGATGTTATCGTCCTCGCGGCTGGTAGAACAAGTGTCGTCGTCGTTCGTCGATATTTAATAGCGAGAGTTTGTCGTATCGCACGTGGAAACATTTTACCCTATCATTATTATATTACTTTATTCTACAATTAAAGTGGAATTTCTTGGTTTCGACCGATAACGCGTATGGTTGGTCGAAGACCAACATTCGATGGCTTATCGGGAAAAGAAGGAAATGTAAACCCGAAGAACGAGGTTAAAGGTAGGGTTTCGAGCTGGTTCGTCGCTCGCAGGGAAGCCAGGTGGCACAGGTCCTACGGCGTAGATCGAAAACGTAGGCGAACCAAGAGAGAGAGACGGAGAGCTGACTGGGGGCAGGTGAAAGAGAGGGAGGCAGAGAGCAGGGGTGGTTATATATAGAAGCGTGCCCCGGGCATCGATCGACGGAGCCTGGGAGACCAGATTCGACACTGTTCGCTCGCACAGCCTCCGTCTGAATCTCAGCTTGCGATCCACGCGTCCTTCCGGTCCTTTCGTTTGCCGCTGCGTCCTATTCTTCCTGGTTTCGTTTCGTTTAGCTGGAAAACCCTTTGCGATGGTCTGTCCTTCTACGCCAAGTGCTTTTACTTGGCATCTGAGATTGGAGGTAATGTAATCGATGCCGGAGGCTTGCCCTTTACTACCGTAGCTCTCGTAAACTTCGACGATCCTACGAAAGGATGTTTTATATAATATATGTTTGCACGGATCCGAATAACTGCAAAACAGGCTTAGCCGATGTAAGAGTCTGCTGTAACAGTTGTTTGCAAAGATTTAGTGTTACGTACGATTACGATCACGGTCGATAACCGTGAAGCATAATTTCACGTAAATTGTATGTCGAAAGAAAGTAAAGTTGAATCGGTGAAATGACACCCTAGGGTGGTTCGAATCGGACGTTTCTCTAAGTCTCTTTCAGTTTTCAGTTAGTCGAGATTTCCGTGTTGTGTTTCCAGTCGTGATAAAGGGATGATATGATCGCGTTCGACGAAGAAAAGTGCAGTGACACGCGACGGGGTGAAACGTGTCCAAGGCAGTTGGGTTCTCTCGCCCGGATCGGGGGAATCTGCGACTTGTTGCATTTCCCGGTAAGCACGACCAGATTGAACGCGATGGTTGCTTTTGTGCCGTTGCATCGCCCGGATATATTGATTTCTGCATCAATTCGTTCTTTCGTTCATGTTTACGCGGCATGGCGTTTGTGTTTATCGCGACAGGGCTCGCTGTATCAATTGACGCGAGCTCAACAGTGGAGCGAAGTCGTAGCCTTTGGAGGATAATAATTGGTTAGCGTCGCGACGAGAGGAATGGAAAAGGAGTGGAAAAAGAGTCGAAAGTTAACGAGCTCGCTAAACTTTTCCTCGGTAATAATTCGACGCCAAAAATAGCCGTTTACGTTACAAACTCGTTATAAGAATCTCTCGAAGGGTTGATATATCGTTGGGGGCTCGCGCAACTTCGCGACAACGTTATTCTTTCGCTTTACTCGTCTCGGGTCTGAAAGGTTCACCTCCAGTTTCGAATACATTATAAAGTACTTTGTTCGCCGTTTGATCCGCGCTTTTCCTCGGAAATGAACGCGCGACACTAGAAGGACTTGGAAGATAGGACAAAGAGTTTACGGTGCAGCATTTCTCTTTTCTATGTAGTTTACGCTTCGCTCGTGGAAGGAGATCGTCGGAGCGTTTCCTCAACACACTTCCGCTCTGAAGGAATCGATATTAAAATTTAATACACCGAGAACACGAATGTAAAGGTAATCATCGGCGAACAGTCGCGTTCGACTGCGAAAAAAAAAAAATGGTCGAGACTTCGCTGAAGATATCGCGTCTTTTCCTTTCAGGGAAAGAGGAATCAGTTTTCCGTCGTAGATTACCGCGAACCCGAAAATTGGCTTTCGGTACTATAATTAAGAAAAATCAATACCAACCTGCCGGGCTCGTTTCGCCCGGGACCAGAGGGATCCCATCCTGTAGGTCTCGATTTCAGTTTCCGGGGCCGAGTTTTTGTTCGCGATTGTTTGTTTAATTAATTCAGACTTATCAGTTGATTCCCGTACGGCGTTATTCCCTCTGTGAGAATCGGACCTCCGATATCGCTTCGACCCCTTTTATCGCCCTGATCCCACACGGCAGTATTCGCATTCGTATCAAATGCTTGGTCTAACTTTTACTTTTAGATTTAGATTTAGATTTTTGAAATGGGGTTCACGGGTAACGTATACGTAGCTGCAAAATCAATCTATACATAGGGTTGATGGAGGATAGTAGAAAAGCATTGCAACTCGATTTAACTTTTCGATGCGAGTAGTTCACCGTGATAATCTTGGCAATTTCGCGGAATACGCATTCTCCGCGCCTATTTCGTGGAAGAGGTTCACGTCAAAGGTTTCATTACTGGAAGGGGTTCGGAGAGTAAACACCCGCTTCGTTCGACTCCATTAGGTTCGGCGGATTTAACGCAGGCTCGCAAAGCCACCGCCAAGTTTCCGTGGTGTGTCCAAGAGGACACACCATTCGCTCTTCGAATGTTCTCTTTCCTCTAACCACGACACACTGGAATCCAGATTTTGTTTGATAATGGCAACGGGTGGTATTATTGCTACAATGGTGGTGCTGGGTCATATTTTATTCGATGCAACGTTGCTCGGTTGTACTTCGTACAATGTACAATGATCCTTCGGATACACGGACTCGTTGCTAAGCTGAGAACGATCGAACGAGCCAACGAGGCTTATTTTCGCGAATACTTACCCGCAAAAGCGAGGGGATAATTACTATCGATTACTCTCACGGATTCGTTCGCGCTCGTTGGTTCGCGATGCGATCGAGTCGCCGCATCGGCTCCACCTGTTGCTAAGCTTCGTTCCACTGCTCTTCCTTCTACTACCTTTGCTCGTATTGAGCATCCACGAAATATTTCGACGGATTATCGAGGAATTTCCTTACCGTTTCTTGCCGTTCCGTTGTTTTCATGCTACGAGCGCGCCGATATTCGAAGGGGGATGACTTTCGTGGAACGTTGCGAGAATGTACATACTTACTCGTGTACATAGATAATCGGAAAATTGGCTGAGAAACCGTCCAAGCGATTCGACGGATTGATAAATTGTAGTTTAAACAAAGTAATATCGCGATATTATACAATATTTACTTTCGGTATACGAGAACTGTTTTCTAGGCGAGGAATTGCTACGCTAGAATACTAGAATGGCAGACCGGAT